CTTCACAGTTTTGCAAATTTATCGATTTTTTATGTACAAATAGGGAGTTCAAATGCGTAGGCCTATTTCCCTCAAGAACATTGACTGACTGAACCAGCATTTGCCAATCTATCGCCGACTTATCCACACAGCCCTCCGTTCTACTATTCGCCGTACCTTTCAACAATCTCTTCTATGTCACTGGATTTTCTGAGTTTGCGTTTGGTCTTTCTTACGACAATAGTACTACTGTAATTTATTAAAGTCCACTTATTGGTATTATGTTAAGGTTGCGAAAATTCCCATAGAGCAGTTCAGAAGAGCATTTGGCAGGCATACGTGGGCCTTCGATAAATTATCATCGAGCCTGCAGATTTATATGTGATCGAGGTACAAACTGAAACGTGTGAGGGATAAGTGCATTCGATTACGGTTCGTATATTCATACAAACGGGGTATGTGAATGGAGATGGGCGAGGGACTAAGGAGGCAGTATATGACAGTGGGAGTTGGCTAGAGATGTGTCACAAGGTAAGAGAGGAGGTGACGGGGAAGCGGAAACATGCATACAGTTAATCGACCCTTGCTCACGGCAAACGCGGGGAGTACAAGAGGTTCTTCTTCGCGCATATGACCAGCCTCTGTAGCCTGATGGCGGTCGCTTCTGCTGTTGCTAATAGACGTCGACCCAGTCGCTTAGGTTAGTTGGATGGAACCTTGTAAAGCACACGGTAGGCTTCGTTGGGATCCGCACGGTGCCCAGCTTCAACCATGTGCGCGAGGACGGAGCCGTGTAAGCTCCTAACTTCACCTTTCATCAGCCATGCCAGCAGGTGTTCTCGTATTCTTGTGGACAGGCGTCGACTCCTACGACCAATATAGTCTGCCCCACAGGAGCAAGTAAAGGATCAAATGCACATGGAGGTTGTCTGAGCTGGTAGCCTATCCTTACCTTCACTGCGTAAGACAGGGTTGGTCGAAAACAATACTTGGAATCTTACTGCCGGGAAGGTCGGTGAAACTGCTTGATCAAGGCGCCTTCTCAGGAGTTTACTTGCCGCGTCTCCTTGAAAGGGGACTTTGAGGAACAGAGCTTTCATTTCCGCCGTCGGTATGATGACTTTTGCCGGTCTTTCGGCAAGATTCCTTATAATAAATCTGTCGGGATATCAATTCTCTCGAAGCAGGTCCTAGATTCTCCTAAGTTCCTCATCAACGCTATCTGCCGAATAGATTTTTCTAGCCCTTTGCGCCAAACAGCAGATTAGATTACGTTTACGTTGAGGGGGTACGAAACTGTGGAAGTTCATATATTGACCAGACCAGGTGTCCTTTCGATAGACGCTTCTTCGAATGTTGCCGTCAGCTCTTATGCTTAGACGGACGTCTAGTAATGGCAGGGAGCGTGCCCTTTCCACCTTCAACGTAAACCTGATTGATGAATGTGCTTGATTTACAGCATAACAACAAACCTGCATGGGAACTCTCTAAAACTTAGAGGATCCCGCTGCTGCCTGGACGTTCGCAGATACTCTTTTTCACCGCGTGTCATTGGTGCCTGGAACGGGCTTCCCGAGGACGTGATAGTGACTGATCCCACGGAGGCATTCAAGCAAAGACGAGATATATATTTTGTTGGAAAATACCGCTTGTCCGGACAGAACATCTATGTTGTGCCAAACCAACGCCTTGCATACACCTACCGCTAATGTGGATGATTGTCATTCCATTTTACCGTTATCATCTACAATTGGAAGTTCTCGAGTTTCGGTCCTGCATTTTCAAAGGAAGATATTCTCTCAGACGTATATATTATCGAAAACATATTAGTACAATATTTGTTTAAAGGTAGATATTGCATGTACCGTTTTCAGTAGGGTTTTCGAAGGCATTGTATATTACCCTTAAAATATGCTGACCATGTTGGTCTCTTTGGTGGCAATTGCAAATATGTCGTCAATGTAGCGACCGTAGTGCCTTGGCTTATTAATTTGGTCGCTTAACTGAAACTTCTCCAGCTTGCCCATGAAGACGTCGGCTAGGAGAGGACCAAGAGGCGATCCCATAGCAACTCCGTCTGTTTGTCTATACGTTTGGTTGGCAGAAAGGAACTGCACATTGTGTGCATTTTAGTAACAGTTCCTTGAGTGCGTTCTTTGGAATACCTATTACTTGGTGGTCGGTTGGGAGGAATTCACATATATACTCGACTGTCTCTGTGACCTGAAAGTTTTTGAAGGGTTACGGGACAGCAAGTGAAAGCATCACCACATCGCCTAGGTTTAGGTCTTTGACGTCTTAAATGAACTCGAAGGTATCCCGATAGCCATGTGGTGCTGGTTGATACTATAGAGGTTTGGTTCGCTGCTAACCACTTCTATATCGCATGACAGGGAGAATTGCGTAGGTCTGAGATCGGACGGGCCGGTAGGCTGTTCTTGTGGATCTTCGGTAGACCATACAACTGAAGGATGTGTGGGCCCACAGGACGGAGGTTCGCAATCGCTTATGAAGCCTCCTGCATGAAGTCTGCGTAGGCAGTCCGTCAATTGTGCTTCTACTTCGTCCATGAGATCTTTTTCTTTGTAAGTTTTCTTGAAATATATTAGATCATCCAGCTCTAGCACATTGCCCAAAACGAAAACCGGACACCTTGATTACGCAAAACAACGGTCCAGTCAGTTCCATGCACCTTACTATTCTGTTCGTCAAACAGCATTATGCACTAAGTGGCGTTAAACATTACGGTTTTCATCGAAACTGACAACTAAGTACGTACCAATTTTTCATAGATGTTTTGGCAGATTTTGAATAATTCATAATGACCCAATTCTGAAGAACTCGACGCCTCGGTGGGATTCGAACCCACGCAGTAAGGGGAAGGCTTTAGTACAGCCAACGCTCTAACCACTTGAGCTACGAGGCCCCGCCGGACGACGCGAGTTTAATCACATTTGGGTCAAGTTACCCGCCCAACCTACTGCAACGTCTGGAATCCACCAAATCTGATACAGTAAGTTGACTGCCCAAGCAGGATTTCCTAAGCAATTCACCTAGAATCCACCAGATGACTACCACGCTCACGTAAGTCATAGATGTTTTGGCAAATTTTGAATAATTCATATTGACCCAACAGTGAAAACTCGCGCCTCGATGACATTCGAACCCACGCAGTAAGGTGACGGCTTTGCAGCATGTGGAGAAGGAGATAATTAGTGCGGCATGCTGCTTCCATGCGTCAAACCACTGCGTCTACACCCAACTCCGGTCGTCTTAACTTTATCTTGCAATCGGAGCAAGGTGGTGAGGGAGTGGAGTGTAAAGAAGATGCAGCAAGTCTGCTTCACAATAAACAGATGTATGCACAAGTCACCACTGGGTCACCTCGTGGGATAGCAGCGGACGTAATCGCCTGCAAAGGTATAAATATCGGGTTCAGTACAGGTCCGAAAAGTGAAAAATAAAGTACATGCTCCTTTTGGGTTTCGTGCCCATTCGTGCTAGAATAGGGTTCAGACTATTCATACCACTGCGACAGACATCATCGAAAACAACCGAGCAGCCGATAAGAGCGAACACTAAATCCCATTTTGGTGTTTGAGATGTCGTAAACGTTGATATGCGATGTCCCGAACGTCAAAGTCGATTACCAAAAATAAGACGGCCAAAATTATAAAATCTACTGAGTAGTATTAACAAGCTGATTTGTTGTAAGCGAGGAGACCCAGCGCTGGTTCGGAAAAAAAGCAGTGGTGACCTGCACGTGGAACCGTTTATGGTGAAACAGACTTTCGATATATCCGCCCCACCTTACTCTTCAAGCACCCAACATGTCCCAATAGCAAGACAAAGCCAAGGTGACTGGAGGTGGACGTGGAGGCAGTGACCTCCAGGACTAAATAATCCGCTCGCAGATGTCACACACAATATGGTCCCTAACGCTGCACAAACGAATCCTTGGTGGGAGAGTATTCAATCTCTAGTCCTTCGAAGTGCCCAGTTACTACGCCAGTTGGTAACATTCCAAGCTACAACTGTTAGCGCGTCAAATAATCTTGAAGTGTGTTTTGTCGTTTATAGTGGGGGAGCAAAACGCTGGAACAGCTTCACTCTCATTCAGTTTCCAAAAATAGCGCAAAATCCGAACCGAGACGAGAGGAACTGAGATTGGGTGTGGGGATGGACGCGGTGCAAACACTCTATGCACCTCATGCCGAGTGCGTGCTTACTAGGATGCACGAAAAGCATAACAAAACCTGTGGAGACTGAAGAAATCTGACTCATAGATGCCCAGACTGGCTGACTTCTAACGGCCTGAAGTAACACCCTCAGCCGTTGGGTGGGGAGGGGAGCAGTCCAACACATATTGGGACATCATTGATCAGGTAAATGTTACGCGGTTCCTGTCGGTGCTATATTTACTGACCTCAAGTCTTGAGGTTTTAATTTCTGGAAACTACAAGAACTACAGTTGCAATGACTCATATAATTGGGGAACTGTAGTGGTAGTGCAAAGACGCAATAAAATCTCACATACGTTTCTTTGGATAGGTTGCAAAAATAAAACAAAATGCCAAGCTAGGGTGTAGGCTGGCAAAATATTAGAGACTAAAAATCAGCTGCTGGTGAGAAATTGAAAGACAGTTCGGAAGAAATTGAAAAATCTCCGGATAACCAGTGACGGAAGCTGAGCACTCAGGCGTACTATTGCGATCCAACACACGCAAGTCCCCTGAAATTCAAAATAAGGGGAAGAGATAAAATTTTCGTTCAGAACGAAGCAATAAGAAAGAGAATTAGAATCGCTAACTGTATAAAAAATAAAAGCTCGGCTAAATCTCCGGATAAGGGAGGAAGTCCAAAGAAAAATTAATGAAAAGTTCAAATATTTCCGTCACTAGTCGCAGCGTGTACAAGCGTTCCGTTATTTTGCCATGCATGACGCGTTTGAGTACGCGTGTAGAACGTCAGACGAGTGCACTATATTTTCAAGTTTACAACGAACACAATCGTTTGAGGGAGGAGGGGGGGGGGGAGGGGGTCGGCATGCCGAAACATGCACCGTTACTGCTGTTAAGGCCATAGTAATTTATTAAAATTTGACAGACCTTGAGACTTCATTAAGATAGTACCGCCAGTGGTTTAAAAACCACCATATCTGGCTGTGCCAAGTATTTACCGTGAATAATGTCTTAAGAAACCCCAGATTCCTTAAAGAGCACAAATTTGCACAAGATCACACCGATACGAATAAGTCATCCACAGTATATTCAGCATGACAATACTTGATGCGACTGGTGTTACAACGTTTTCGGAGTGAACTGGGAAAATCCAACTTTCAGTTATAGAAGAGATGCAGAGGGGATTTTAAGTACCTACAGACAATAGTTTTGGTGCCAGCAGAGCTGAGATGTCTGTATCTTCAAAAGTAGTTCAACAATTGTAGGATTAGACTGGCTCCCTTAAACCAAATCCTTGCTGCTCCTGGTTCTTTTGCCTCACCATCTTAACTGGTGAGTTTACTGTTACGACCGTCAGAGTTTGAAAAAAACGTCCGGCGGCTAACACTTTTTATGGTGTTTTATGTGACCCCGGGTCGTCCTCGCGCTTCTATAGAGGTAAAAGGGGGAGTTGGAGTAGGTGTCAATTCACATTTGCTCCGTGCACATGTTTACACAGATCCACGCAGTGTTCACGTCCACATCGTCGGTTGCGTTCTACTCTTCCAGTCCATTGCACGCGGTTCACTCTATAAAGGTGCAACCATCGGTCTCGATAAACAAACGGAACGGTTTGGCAGTTAACACTAGACATCCAACCCCTCTGCGTCGAATCTGTCGTTCAGTTTGTCCATGAAATTAGTTTCCTGGAAGACCTACATGCATCCGGGACTGGAGAAGTATTTTATCACCGAGGGACGTGATCCGCAATTCTACTAGCATTGGTGGATTTGCCCTTAACGATAGTTCATCCTGCATTAACTCGGCCTGATACCATAAAAGACACACAACGAGTTCCCATATGATGGGAACTTTTTGGTCCTACAGTTCAGCATTGCGCCGGTTTTGAGGTCTGTTGGCGAGAATGACGCTGAGAGGTTTTAGCAGACAGACGAAAGCTTTGAGCGAAGTAATGCGTGGAAATAGCTGCCATTAATTTCTTTTCCTCTCTTGGTCTTGTAGTTGTTCTAAGCAGTCAGTACTATTCGCAGAATTCGTCCCTGACCCGTGACACAGGTATTGCAGATCGATAGTTTTTTTCTGGCATTCTTCTTGTGTCGTGTCTTAACTCTCTCGTATCAGATTCGCAACAGTTGGGTTTGTGAGACAGTGGAGAGCTATCCTGATTATAGAAGCCTTGGACGACATCGGTCTTCACGGTTTCATTTTTCTTTCAGCAGACACAGCCATTCAAATACGAGCAAGTGGATTGAATTAAGATTCAAAAAATAAGACCGAAAACGAGCGAGAACCAGAGGTCAATCATACTACTCACGTGGCAAGGGCGGTTGTTAGAAACAGGACGAGGGAGTCGAATATGAAAACGGCACCGGGCCAATGCTCAGTGGTCGCCGAATAAATCATAGGTTGTGCTGTCATTCCAATAAGCATACCAAGTACCGTGGCAAAACCCATAACAGAGAAAAGCCGACCTAAAAACCAGCACATATGGAGACCGAAATTGGGAAAGTGAGTCATAATTAAAAAAGAAGATTTAATTAAAAAACAGGCGTACGAAGAGAAGAGGTGCTTTCTCATGAAATGCTAACAAAACTTGGGAGACGTGCTGTGGATCTGGAAATATTACTTAAGCAGGGCTGTAGTAGTCTCAAGATATATCGGTCACGCCAGGGTTCTGGTTTTTGAACGAGCTTCTTCCGGACCGCCTGCAAAAACTACACTTTAAGCTGACTGTCTAAAAGTGTGAAACTTTCTTGTTGCCTCTCGATGCTCTTATAAATTTAAACATATTTTATAGAAAACACGCACAAAAATATTCTATCTTGTGCTTATTTGGCGGCAAATGACGTCTTCTTCTAATTCTTTACTTGGTAATAGAATATTTTTGGTTCTGCAGAAGCTTCTACTTATGGGATTCTTGATACCGCAAAATGTCCATGAATAAAGCATAATGCCTGCTAATTTATTGATGCGGCCTACAAATTATGCAAAATGGTCCAAATTGATTGAAAGATTTTATGTACGCTAGATGACATCTTCTTAATAGCTTACAGAAATGTACGATTTACCCTGACGTGACTACATTATTTTGGGAGCACACTGCACGGTAATTATTATTACAACCCTGCCTAAGTAACCTTTCCGAATCAAAAGTCCACTCCATGATTTTTGTTAACATTTCGTAAGCCAGAACATCTAAAAAGGTCTCAAAACAAGATTGAACACGGAAACCTAAGTTCAGCAGAAAATGTAGTTTTCGAGGTAAACACTGAAAGGTTGGAAATAATTACCAAAACGCATGTCATGTAAACGAATATTTTGCAGGAATTAGTACTTGGGTAAAGGCGCCGTGCTACTGAGGACTAAATAGAAAATGCATGCGGCGGTTCGACAACAGTCCTGGCAGTAGCAATCTGTACATAATTTGGATTGGAATGAGGAAAACTTGCGCATGACCATTAACACCCTTTTTCTTTGCTCATCAACAAGTCCATTGACAGTACACCAGCCATAGCGAATGGCCAGAAATTTCGCAGGAGTCTTTCGCGTGTCCACAGATGCCGGCTGTTCCTTTACATCCCACCCAGAACTTACTTTGAATTCTGTTAGATGAGGGGACCAGACCTTGGTTTGAGTCTAGGGTCCCAGCGTCAATCATTTTGGCAATTAAGACCGATTCATGTGTCGGATCATGCTGGTTTAAGTGTTATTTCTGCTAGAAACCTCTGAAGACTTCGTTCTGAAAATTGATAAGCCAATACATGGTGGTTTTACAAAGTGCTTGTGCTCGATAATCTTCGCAAACTTACAAGTTTTAAAAGTGCCTTTCGACACTGATAGTAAATTCATAAGGCGTTATCTTACTATATCTTCCATCTATCATGATCTGCGCACTTCCTCACATGATGTTACGTCGTCCCCAGGAAGTCCCTCGACAATTACATTTGTTTTCAAATGGACTTTTATTCCAATCTTTAAAAAAGGCTGGAACCTATCTAAAGCAATTATTTTAGGCAGGATCACTGGACCGATGAATGCTATACTAAAGGTGCACTCATGCCACTTTGTCAGAAGGTGCATAGATCACCAGATACCAAAATGCCCTTAACTTTCAGACATGATTTTTTAAAAATGTAATTTCCCACAACATGCAAGCAGATAGTTGACTTTCCCAAGCATAAAACAGGTTATTCAGAATGCATCCAGTTCAAGCAAGTAATGTTGCTCGGGTCATAATGGCAGAAGTTAGTTTGAGTTGATGTGCTATGTAGCTCCAACTGGGTCACATTTTTGTAGGAGTCCATATTTAAGAACGTCAGCGAGTAGGTAGTGCATATGAACACTAATCGCAAAAATGTTAAAAATGAGATGCGTTATGAATCAGGAAGGGAATTTGAGACTTACCATGTTCATCTGGTTTTACCGTGTTCGAAATGAGACTATTAAGAAGTGGAAGATAGAAGGCTATGGTGCCGAGAAGGAGTGCTACAAGAAATGAGGCAATTGGTCAGATAGATGTACAGAAACTGTAAGTCAGAAAGTTTGCTATCAAAGAAAATCCTCCATCAGGACAAATTTTCTAAACAGAAAGTGTGGCGACTGGACCTAAAGGGAGCCTTTACGAAGCACTTCTGTTTCCGCCTTCGTATGTCATCCAAATTTCCAGATTCGTCAGACTTTACACCGTAGACAAGATACACATGCGAGTAAATCCGAATAGCGAGTACTCCATATTGTGTACACATAGCGTCGTTGCTCAGGTGATGTCAACTGACCCTATAAAACAGGTCTCTTGGGCATTTTATTGAGCATTTTCTATGATCAGAGACCCTGAAATCGATAGCATGAGATGTTTCATCAGTCTAGCGTAGATTACGGTCAGGGACGTTCGGTCCGATGACACCGTCCACTGCTCGCGCAGATATAGGCCTTTATTGCGCAAGTTCTCAAAATAGTTTTCTGGAGTCGTGTAGTTAACCTTAGTGCCCATCTTTTTTAAATGTTTCAAATGGCGGAACTCGAAAGGGGCACTTGAGGGATATATGCTGGGTGCTGACCGTCCGTCTATGCGGATACAGATCCTATCAGAAAAGGCGGACGAAAACGACGACCTGAAAATCAATTCTAAGGCCTGGGAGGATCTCTCGCAGGATCATCAGGCCGCCATGAAGGCTGGAACGGCCATTATCGAAGACAACCGGATTGCTACTACCAAGGCGAAAGCAGCGGCCCGAAAGTCTAAAGTGTCGCGAAAGGACCGCATAAGCATCCAAACCGTCACACTGTTTCCATATTGCCAACGGACAATTAGGGACACTTGCAGGCTCTGTGTAATGTTAACACAGCCTACCATTTCATAAAATACAATCGACAGTTCGAAATACTTTGCCGACAGTGTCCATCGTGTGCCCTACAAACAGGGCGGGCGCGGGGACGGTGTTCTGTGCGTGAATTAGCTTACAGTGAAGGCACGCTTGCGCCACGCCTAACCCACTCTCTCCTCGTGCGTCCGCCTAAGTCCCGTGTCAAAACAGACTCAAGAAGACCGCAGCCAGGATCGGGTGTCAGTGGCTCACGTGGCGTGAGTCTGCATCTAGGCGTGCCGCCAGATCCCCAAACAATGGCATTTGTTATTGATGCGCAGCCCAATAACGCGTGTCGGCACAAAAAAGCACTACCGCCGCCGCCGCCGCCACCACCAGCATTAACTGGTGGTGTCACCCATGGGGACACGTCTACCATTCTTTCAAGCAGTATCACCATTGGCACTTTCAACAGTAATGTGGGCCCAATTTCAACCCTCCCTTCGCGATTGTACCATCGGATCATGCATCCATCAGGTCGGTCACTTGTGGACCCATCGCACTAGGACAGGTGGACCAATATTAAAAGCCCCGACATACACCCGCAACAGATAGCTCATCTACGAACACTTATCTAGGCGATTTGGCTACCTCATGGACATATTCGGCCATATGCGCCTCCATGAAAACCTTCATTAAAACAACGTATTTCACAATCCATCATAGCAACTTGCTTTACTGGCACACACATAAACCTACGCTACAAACGGGTCTATTCCAGAACACGTACGTACACGACACCTCTCTGCAACATGCCATGCATCACTCCTACAGCATATATGCGATACACCTTATCAGCGCCTATGTAGTGGACGAAAATTCGTATACCATCACATGCCTACTTCGCTTATGTGGGAATCACGTGAGCTAATGAAGTCAGGTATATAAATTGGAGACCAGGTCGTACACGGCGCGCGTAGAAATACTGTTCATCTTTGTTAGACGTTGCGTCCGCGCCTTGACTTCGCCTTGTCATCGGTACACAGTTGACAACAGAGGGTGCAGTAGATGCAGTGCAAGTATGAGTCACTATAAAGTGATTCATACGCAAGTCCTCGTTACCGGGTCGGCTTCAAGGGACACACGGAGGGCGTGGTCGTAGCGAGGGTCGAAATGTCGAGTTACACTACCAGAGCGGTTGCGTTTCCAGCAGCTCGTGTACCGTCGGCCAGGCAATGATGTATGCAAGGAGGACATTGACGGCTGTGACTGTCCGAGCGCACTTGTGCGCGGACCAAAATGAGGCGCAGACCAGTGTGTCTGAGGCAAGGCAAGGCGGCTTTGCAGCAAAGGCCTGTGATGAGGTCTAATGGTCCTGAGTTGTTTGTCCCCGAGAAGAGTCACTGCAAACTGATTCTCGATGTTGAGAACGTTCTAAAAATTCCTACGCCAACGTTCGACCGTGGGGGAGTTGCCAGTATTAAGGCCGCCACACACAGTCGCTAGCACGGAATGCCTACCCTTAAAATGATGTAGAAATGGGTAGAATTCGACCGTCTCCGACTCTTGAGGCCTGTCCCATGGAGATTGCCACTTCATCCCAACAATGTTTGTTGTCATCTCTGGCCGGCTTTGTCTTCATTCTCCAGAGTTGGCTAAAGAAACCACCCTTACGCAATCTAGCCCCAACCGTCGCCGAGAATTCTAACAATTGCCACGGACTGATAATTTCAATGATGACCACTTGCTACTGCCTTTTCCTTCTGCGCTTGCTGGAGAATGAGAACGAACTTCTAAATTTGAAGTTCACCTGCGTAGGATTGTCCTTATTGTGAGACAAAAGCGCGGGCTTTACACGGCATTTTAGGCGTATATGAAGGGTGTAATCTTAAGCGTACACAGATGAGTACGTAGGAAGACAGATGGGTGTTGCTACATTCAGCAGAATGCGGTAGATGCTGCGCATATCTACCATCGATATAAACCAATTGCCGCGCATCACAACCTCTGCACCAATTATGACGTAAGGCACACAGTGGTTATCATCGTTCGCGGTGGGCGAACTGTCGCCAAATTCGACACCTCGCATCGAACTACTGTCACGAGCCCAACCGCGAATCTTTGGGCTGACTGGAATATAATCACTCTGGACGGCGGTACGATCATCATTTGAGCACCAGGTCAGCAGATGCTGACTTCGATGCCAAAATAACGCTTTGCTGAAAACCAGCCACCTCTGCTGAACGAAGCCTAACATCCTTTCACCGTTTTCGATTAGGTAGCCAAGCTCAGAGTGGCTGATAAGGTTTGAAGAGTCGCCTGGTTCAGCCTGTTCCGGCAGAAATCAGTAACTGATGGCGAGGACGTCTTCAAGGCAGTCCTTCAGCCGAAGAACGGAAAGATTTTTATCTCACACATGGATTCAACGCGTACATAGAAACAACAGAGATGTAAATAGGGTACATATCTGAGGGGCGTCTGAGAGGATGATCGTCACAAAATGTCTGCCAAGAGTCGAGTGGAACCTTGGATACAGGGTGGGATTGGAGCTGTTCCCCGCGGTCTTAATTTACATGTAGCTTGGATTCGGGATTCGGATTTCAGACAGGCAGGCGACATCCACATTTTACCGGTGAAGACTACGTGCATTCAGACTCCGGATACCGGTGTCGAGGGACATGTACACCCCCAGCATCCAGAGCTGAGGGTTCGTTCCCGGTTAGACAGTTCAGCTAGCATATGATCCGTCCACACCATCAGGTCAGGTCGCGGGGCGCGTCGGTTCCCGTGGAAGCAGTAGCATGAATTTTAAGGCTTGAATTTAACCTTTTCACGAAGTTTCTTGAAATTTTTTATCAAACACAGATAACCAACAGCCGCTCGGATCGTCCGAAGTTGTCTCCAAATGCGTGTTGGCTCCAGGACGTGGCCGCCAGCCAGTGGTGGCAGGTGAATTTTTTTACTGTCGGTTAATACTCGAAATTTCCGTATACCCTGAGTACCCACCAACGCTCCCATATCCGACACTAATAACTCCCCATCCACCGGCATGACCACGGCTGACAGCCTCACCACCCATACCGGTTCTACAACGCCAAACCCACCATGCCCTCACTGCCACCGTGCATGTGCATCACGAATCGTCCTGGTCGACCACTTGCGAGACTATTGCGCTGCGACCGGCGCACCAATGCCAGGAGTCGCCAAACACACTCGCTGCATCCGTCAACGCAGACCACACGCATTCATACACAGCATGGACTTATTTGGTTACATGTGTATCCACAACAACGGAGTTCACTGCAACATCTTCATACGTAGCACACCCTGTACGTCTACCATCCCTCCCATTCCCAACCTAATCAACTGCCCATCGACCAGCACGCCCACCACTAGCAGCATCACAACGACAATCGAGTCAACACCCCCAAACCTATCCTACCTGCATTGCCACCGCACGCCCACATCACGCCTCGGCCTGACCGGTCACTTGCGAATCCAACACAAAAAGACTAGCGAACTAGTGCCTGGAGTACCGATATACACTAGACGCAATCGCCTCAATACCCCTCACTGTCCTCCCACATTCAGCAATCGCATGAGCATATTAGGCCACATCCACCTCCATGAAAACCCGCGATGGAACACCGTCGGCTACACCATAAAACCGCATTTCTCCTCGCCAGTACCTACAACACACATGATCACGCCCAGCGTCACTCAAAGGGAGAAAGTAATCTACAACTCTCACGTCAGTGGGAGGTGTGTTCTTCGGTTCCTTTTTCATGTGGCTCCTCTGCTGCATGCGTGATCCGAGCCAGAGTGCACTAGGCTCCGTCTGCATGTGGCCTCTAAGGTACTCCCAATCTATGAGATCCGAGCCACCTCCCCTTTCTCTTGCTGTGGGTAAAATCCTGGTCAGAGTGCATTTTCGATGCGGGGGTGTGATGGCACGCTTAGGCGCGGGTTTACATCGTGCCAGTCATATGCGTCCTCTCCCGCTTCCGTTATTATCGCCTCTGTTTTGACACCGGGCCCAGGCGAGGGAGGGGTACAGAGTGCAGTAGATTAAGCGAAAATGTACTGCCACTTTAATTCACGCGCAAGTCGCCGTCCCTGCCCTCACCCTGCTGTGGAGCACACTGTGGACATCGTGGGCAGCGATGATCGCGCTGTTACAGTTGGAATTGAGATGGGGAAAATCTACGGTTGCCACAGAAACAAAAACGTTTGTAAACAGCGTAGAAATACTCCGGCTTGGGGACTGATAAGAGAAGTTTATTGTGAGGGAGCGCGCATCACCTAGGGGATTGATGGGCATCTTCTCAACAGCAGACGCATCCAGGACCCAACACGGCTATTTACGATAGCAGTCCACAACCTGCTCTTCGCCGACGACTGCGCGCTCCACACCACGACCGAAAAGGACATGCAACAGAGCATGAACCTCTTCGCCGCCGATAACGCCAAACTAGGATCAGACCGTCGGCACAGGCAAAACAATGGTCACACACCAACCATCACCCAACACGGAATACAGTTCTCGAATTAGCGCCAATGGCAGTCAACTCAAAACCGTGGGCAACTTCGCCTGTATAGGAAACGTACTATCGCGCATCATAGACGTTGACGACGAGGTTTCCCATCGAATCGTCGGAGTCAGCCAGGCCTTCGGTCGGGTGCAAGCCTCAGTGTGGAATCGTTGATGCCTTCAACTGAACACAAAACTGAAAATGTGCACGGTCGTCATCTTGACGACACTTATGTATGGCGGCGAACCCAGGACCCTCTACTCTAATCATGGCAGGAAACCCAACCACTTCCATCTCAGCTGTCTCCACAAAATATTTAGGCCGACATGGCAGGACAGGATCCCGAACACGGACGTCCTGGAACGAACCGGAATCCTTAGGACTCACGCCATGCTGGAGCAAGTGCACCACTACCACCTCGGTCCTAACTTGTCCTCAATGCGACCGCACATCCACCCCATACACCGGTCTGGTCGGTCACTTGCGAATCCATCGCACAGAGAATGCCGAACTAATGCCTGGGGCACCACTATACACTCGTCGTATCCGCCTGAACTGTCCACGCTGTTCAAGCACATTCCTTCATTGCATGGGCCTACTAGGTCAGATGTGCATTCATGAAAACCTGAGGTAAATCACTGCAGATACGACCACATCAGGACACAATCCCCCACCAACATATGCATCACGCTTACACTCCACCACAATTCCGCATAACCGGCACCTCTGAGAAATGTGCTTTTTCGTCTCTTTTCTCCGCATGGCTCCTTTGCTGCATGTGAGACCGGAGCGTTTTATCCCCCTTGTGTGTGTGAAGTCCTGACGTGTGCGTACGGGGGGCCAGGTCCTGTGTGTGGTACGCGCAGACGGGCTCTCTATCTGTCAGCCACTCCGTCCATTTCCGACATCAGACATATGACAGGCTCGAGCGGTGACTGGGGCCTGGGAGTGGGAAGAGAGAGTGAGGTCTACGAGTCATCAGAGTTCCTTTACTATAAACAAGCTGATGCACTTAAAGTTATCGTGATGTGCTAAAAGCCGTGGCTAGGGAGGATGCCAACGGATGGGGTAGCTTGGATCTCGCAGTCAACCCGGTGTGTGTCTGTGTGGGGTGGTGAACTGGTAGACTGAGAGTCACGCTGCATTGGCTCCTTCTTAATATGGCCTCTACGAGACTCCCACTTAGTGGGATCAAAGCCGGATGTGGCAGCACGCCTAGGGGCGGCTCCGACCGCGCCAGCCGTCGCTCTTGTTGCAGTTCATTAAAATCCTGGTCCAACGATTGTCGTAAACAAGGGGTTGTGGTGGCACTTCTGGGGTGGGTCCTGCAGCGCCAGCCACCTGCGCGCTCTCCAGCCTCCGGTTTTCTTGGCTATGTCTTTATACCGGATCCTGAGGGGGGAGGAGAGAGTGCGGTAGATGCTGTGCAAGTCTACTAAGACCATAAACTAATTCAGGTACAGGTCCCCGCGCCTGCTCTCACCCTGCTGTGGAGCACACGGTGGACATCGTCGGTATCGACGGTCGAACCGTAATAAATAGGTCATCCTGGTCTCATGACGAAGACGCCCGTAGAAAAGAAAGAAACGCACCGAGGAAAACAAGGTAACTGTGAAGAGGAAATGGCACCATCCATGCGGTGCCAAAGATCAGCCGACTGAGGGCCAGCAGAGCTAAAGTACTGGCGATGGCGATGATCAGTCGCCGTTTATAACGTCGCGAGGCCGGTGAGAGTCTGCGTGACAGCAGGGGAGAAGACTGAGAAGGAACCTCATCCTGCACCTCCGAAGAAGTCGCTTGGTACTCCAAAGCGGCCTGGCCTTCATCGGGTTCATTGAGGCAGCAGGTTGCAGACAGACCCATAGCCACGAAGATGACGGCAGTCACTACGGCGCTACTTCCGGACCGCAATCCCCTTCGAGAGAAGGCAAAATAATTCCGACGGAGGGGTAAACAATACAGAGAGAGCCTTGCCTCTGTACTCGCGTCCGAGAATGAAAATAACCAGGCTAACCTGTGAATCAGACTCGGCCTTAGTTAGCAGCACGAATCGACACTGAAATAGTAAAGTATAGGAGGACAACTCAGCCGGTACTCTGATCGTTTTGTCGCATGAAACATCTCCCAGGCGAGACAGAAAAAAATCTCCCTTTAACATCGAACGAATGGTTCGAGTAGCCATCTACCAGGGAAACCACCCAAACGCCAGTATGGCAGAAATGTAACTATTTGCATGTTTAAGTCATATTCAATTAGACCTTAGACCAACACAACGAATGACCAACCCACGTGAATCGATTAAGTAGTTTTGAAAACGGCATATTAATATACTTAGAAGTTCTCTTATCAGAGTTATGGAGGACATAATTCCCGCTTAAAATTGCTTTTATTGCATGCAGCCAACCGTACAAAAAGATTTTCTTATTCCTGAAATCTGATTTCTAGATGGAAAATGGTTCTTTTTCTATTCGTTCGACAACAGGTTGCTCTTTTCAGTGTTAGTTAATCCCGGAAAAGCTACTAAACCGCGCGAAAAATAGTTCTCCGACCATCCAAAAACCCGCTGAAACGTTGTGTCAGGGTACAGCAGTCGCATGGAATGTAGTGGTTAAGGGACAAGTCTTGGCAGTTTCTGCATTCGAAGGCAGACGCCTCCGTACGCCTCTCCGAGACATTATTTTAATTTCCAAAATTTTATTAGGCGCAGATGGGTGATGTCTTATTGGATGGCGGAAAACATTCGGCATGACACAATATCACTATGATATGCGACCATTTTATAAATGGCCACATAACTAGATCGGTCCTCCACCGCGACTGACGGTAGTACCACTGCATGATCTGCGACCACCTCTTCTCCAGACCTATGATGCTGACTAATTTGCAGTCGGCCCACATGGAAGGCCATTTCACCATCAGTCGCGCGTGGACGCATTGGCGTAGTCCATAGCTCAGCTGAAGACCGGGTTCTGTCTTTCTTGGAGTGTCTGGCACCCAGGATACCGGCTGCAGCCTCGACCCAGCACGATCGCATCGCAGAAGCAAACAGAAGACGCCACTGGAGGCTGTTTCTGTGTAGACCAGGTATAGCGCAGTCGTAGAAAACGGTACGCGTCGACTGCCAGTCAGAAAGGGGTGCGAGTGACGAGGGCGTGAGAGCCTACGCAATTATCATTAGTGGAAAATTAAATAGCCAAACTGTGATTGACACCTGTGCTTGACTAGTCTTGATAATGCGACATTCGATCGAAGGTCTGATTGCATGAGTCGTGCCGTGTTGTGGTGTAGATGTCAGGCACAAGCAGTAGGCTGGAGTCAGGACTAGGGCATAAAAGTTCCTGGCTTCCTGATGTTGTGTTTAATTAGCACAGGTGGCGGCAACTATTCTCATCGTCAAGCCATTGTCTCACCGTTTTGAAGCAATTTTGGGATGGACTCTCTGCTATCCACTTTGCAAGACCACTTAAGAGATCTCTTTGCTTACAAACGTGCCCCATGTCTTAAATAGCTACTTTCTGTCTTCGGTGAAAATGCCTACTTTTAGCTTGTTTTCCACTTCCGGACCTATGCTGGAACACCAATACAAGAAGCATTTTCTACCTTAGTTCTAGAATTTTAACAAAGTCGGCCGGACTCGGACCTTGTCCCAGATGCATAAGGGGTGGAAAGAGGGATTATGACCGATCCACCTCCAATCCACTTTCTCTTCTCACTATGGACAAACTAAAGCACCTCAAACCGCCAAAACGGACACAAGGTGTGGTTTAGCGGTTTGTAAACGACCGCCACAACAGCAACCACCCCTCCCCCAACATTATTCACTTAGAAAGTGAAATCACGCACTGTCTGGTAGGTCATATTAACTTCAAGAGTAACCTGATCTTTCTCAAACTACGAGAATGGATTCAATGGTTCCGTAATACGGCCTGCATGGAAGCTTTCCTGGGTGGGAGATACGAAACTTAGGTTGTAGCCCAGTTCGAGTACATTTAGGTACCACCACATGCAAGGCCTGCATAGGCCACCTCATCAGCCACCGTGTCCACACTATTTCCAGTCTCTAGACTTTGTATTGCCACCTAGAACGTGGTGGACGAATGAGATGGATACTGCGAAGATCCTCTTTACTATAATCATATACAGGTGCAAGTCACCACTGAGATCCCCCGACGGTGATAATCTTCATCGCCGACAGAAAAATAAATATTCGTTTGAAGGCCCGCCAATTGATCGACATTCCTCAGTGCTTGTCCGCTATTTATCAGCCAAGTTAAGGAATTTAAGTTTGCTATTATAATTCAATGTTAATTTGCGCATACAGTATAATATTTTGCGCCAATAAAACAGCCCTGATCGACGATCTGCGGGAGAAAAGGCCTTATCCTCAGTTAGGTAAGACAGTCAAAAAATCAACGGATTGTAAATTTCGCCACCTACTGTTCACGCAGAAACTAATGGAGCCAATTTCACCTCATTCAATTTGTTGCTTTCCTTACTTAAGTTAAAACTGTCTTTTCTCTTCTCTGCCTCAATGGGAAATATCAGATTACATTGATTAATTAGGTCAAATTCGTAGCTGTGGATGTGTTCTAGGTTAGTCAATGGTGTACGGTAAGCCACAATGCACCGCCAGGCTATTTATTTACAGACTGAACAGTGAGTACTTTGGTAGAGGGGTGCTCACCGATCGTGCTGCGGAACTAGTTTGTCCGGCTGTGCTTAACGGCTCTGTCTCGAGCCCAACCAGCAGCCACACAGCGGCGCGTAACATAGGCACAATAACATTGTCGACAGAGACAAGGGAGACTGGAATGAAAATTTCTGGCCTATGAGTGCTTTTATAACCGGCAGGCACTTACATATAGAGTCCAAGTTGATCGGACTTCCAACAGAAGGGCTTGCCCATGAGATAGAGCATACAGACGCTCGTATCAGTCCAGAGAACGAGGGCAGAGAAGAATGTAATCAAGAAACCCAGGAGAACGGTGGGATTCCATAAGAAAGCGGCCTGAAAGCAGGAAGCGGTACAATTGCGTAACGCAACCAGCATAAACAAGACTCTCCCACTTAGTTAAACTGCGATCAGAAGGGGTTAAACGATCAATACCGAGTGATGGTCACTCTACAATAAAGTGGGTCTTAAAGTTCTCGAGAACAATAAAACGTATATGACCGGCCCTAGTAATTTCAGTGATGGTAGAAGCAAATTTTGATGAGCTCATTCTTGCTATGGGCAAAATCCTCAGAGGCGGACGCGCTGAAACCTTTCGTCGCGCCATGGCATCGCATGACAAAAGGTAAAACTACCAACGCGCACACCATCTTTAAACAGGGTACCTTGATCTACTTCCTGGAACTTTTTTAGAGTCAAGTTTGTACGGTTTTCGGCAACTAAATTGTTGCTTACGAAAGCTATTCATATCAGCAAGCATACATGAGGACGGACATGGATAAATCAGCCAATAGTGACACCAAATTAGTGCCGGGTTGAGACCGTAGGTTCGGCTCGGAGAGGAAATCAATACGACAGGTAGACCGTCGTGACTGACGATGTCTACCGTGTGCAGACGCGGTGACTTGCGCATGAATTTAGTTTATAGTGAAAGAAGACTTGCGCAGCATCTGCCGCCCTCTCTCCTCCTTCATCTGAGTTCGATGTCAAGACATAGTCAAGAAGACCGGAGGTGAGAGAGGGCGCATGTGGATGGCACGGCGAATGAACCCACATCTAGGCGCACCACTACGCCCTCGGAAACCAATACAACAATTAAAACTTAACGATGCCTTAGTTATAGGCGACTTAAATTAACCTCTTTCTGGCTGACCTGGGTCACAGGATAGAACGAAATTCGCCATCAAAGCGCTTGCGGTCCGATAAGCTACTTGAAAATAGGCATAGCCTCAAAACGGACGGTGAGAAAATACGAGAATTATGTGACTGAGCGAAAATGAGTAAAAAGAATCAGTATTAGTAGCCATCGACATATTAAGGGGAGGTCACACACGAAACGTTTGTAGGGTGCACTTAATGTGGGTGTTAACTTCTTTCGTTTCATATTAGTTTTGCCTCGTGTCTTTAAAGTGGAGGACGATTCGTGATAACCATCTCGACGCTCGTGAGGTCTGATCTAAGATAAAAATAGCCAAACAGTCGTTTCTCTTCTTGCAACTAGTTCGGGTCAGGTTAGTTGATAAGATGTGTGACTTGTTGATCCCTAATGCATTGTATAATACCAGGCGATATCACACTTTGTTTGGAAAATCATTTAACAACTGAAGAGAAGCATCGCAAGCAGAGGTCCCGATGTAAGTACATTCCCCATTTATGAGAATTTCTAGGTGCATTTGTGATTTTGCTGTGGTCAACCACACACCCGATTTATGTATGGAAACGCACAAGACAGGTAACTTCACAACGTAGACGTAAAGCAAGCGTTTGGTCATTTAAGCACAATCTTTAAATTTTAACTCAAAACACCTAATTCTAACATGCGCGGTTAGTTCGCCGTTGGGACATTGTTTATCAACATCTCGCTCATGATGTCCTGGGTGGTAGACATTAGACGAACTTGCTGAAGCAAGGTAGACAGAAAAAAAACATGCCGAAGGACACTAGCATCAGGTTACAGGGAAAGACTATAATTTCTGGATGCTGTTCAGTAAACGATCACTGAGGGTGAGTAACTGCAGTTAACTAACTGGAGGACAAAAAAGATCCAGTGAAACCAATATAACAGAAGGCTACGTTGTCATTAACAGCAAGAAGAACATCGATTTTTTCCGATCGGAAAGATGCGGACTACCCAAATGCAGTTTATTAATACTCTTCGCCGAATATAACTTTCCCCTACGATGACAGTGGCGTTCACGTAAACTGAGAAAAGCCTACAAAGAATCGGCGTGGCGCTTTCCTGAAATTCAATGAAGTCCCCCTGTTAAGGCACAGTCAACGCGATCGGCACTGCTACTAGTCAGGTGAACACACTGGTTCAATCTACGTGTACCACAATAGGTTGCTGGCTAGTATAATTGCGGAACCAGGCTCCACACACTCGTATATTCATGCGGAGTGGAGGGAAGCTTTTCGCAGAATGCCTCGAGGTCTTTTAAGATATGTTACTTACCTCACCGCAAGTGTGGCGCTGTGGCATCACTCACTTTCCGTGCTGTTCACATACGCGGACACCCGACTGTTATCATCTCGCGTTTGCACACCACAGGACCATATAGTAAAGAGATGTGGGTGTAACGCTTGCCAAAATGACGCCAGACTAGGTGCATGAGTTCGAGGCATGCAAACTACCTGTTGAGAGGTAGACACTGGTCCTGATGTGCATCACCACTATTGTATCAAATGCAGGCGGAATGCCAATCAATTTACCTTCCATTTTTAAAGGTCATATGGGGCAATGAAAAAATATCAATCTTCGAAACCTTGAAGGGACAAATATGGGTCACATACACTACAACTTACAAAGGTGCAGCGTTTTTTGGTTATTAAACACAGCATTGACAGGAAGAGACATGGGCTGACATACGCTTAGAAAACGCGGTGAAGTGTGAGGTGGTATGACCCCTGGATCGCTGGACGAAGCCAAGTGGACTGACAGGTTCACCGCCTCGGTTGTAACCACTCTTGTTTCTGGCATGATGAGGAGGCAAATAAGGCCTAGCACTTCAGAGCCGAGGATGATCCCGACGGGAACCACAAAGCCAATCTCTTGAATGACTTTGCCTAGAGTGAGCAAAAAAGGGTTTACTCGGTGTATATGTCAGTTTGCGTCGGAGACTGATAAAAAGAAATGCTAAAACAAAACTACGTGTATTTTAAGGAAACGAATTGAAGTCCAAAAACGAAGTGGTAAACATTAGGTGATCTAACCCAGGAAATGTGGAGATCGGTATTGGAGTTGGTGGTACGGCATATATTTGGTGTGGTTAGTTTTGATTTTAGAATTGATTGGAATCCCAGAAAGCATTTTTCTAGAGAAGAATTCATGTTAGGTCTGTTCAACTGAGGGGAAACAGGCAAAGAATCATGTAAGTGATCCCCTTAAGCCCGCCCATTTGTGGTAAGGCCAGATCAAATGCCCAGGCATTTAAAGGAGTATTTTGTTGTCTCGGGTGGGTGGAATTATATGTATAACATTGATCAAGTCAGATTCGAAGGAAATTCGTCGCAAATGGGAGGCTTCACAGTGATTAATCGTCCTCTTGATTACGGATGTTAAAGAATGCTAAGTCGAGGCTCCTCAGAAACTCTATGAGTCGGTGGCCGGTTCTGCCTTTTCAGTTAAGTTAGCACATATCGGCATGACAGCACAATGCCCAATGAAAATGACGAATTTTTAAGATTGATTTTATTGGCTCTTATGTGGCAAGACAAGCTTGCATATGAGGATTTTGGTTAAGCGGGCGAAATTGGAAAAAAAACTCCAAACGACCTACCTGGCGCGTGCTCGCACTAACTGATGAGCATATCCAATTCCCAAAAGGCCACTGTTTTTAACCTAATAAGTCTAAATTCAATACCCGTGCAGAAAGACATGGACTCCTGCGCAGTAATGACACCCCCGCAACGGCATTCATTCCGTCGATTTTTACTAAGGTGTGAGGCACAAATAAACCTATCTTTACCAATGTTCAGGCAATCGAATACCATCAAGACAGTGCATTAAAAAACTGGTGTAGATGGCGGAACAAGGATAAGGTTGAATTTGCCAACTTTACATACAGAGAGTACTGGGAACAAAGGCTATTAATATGAGCGATACATCGAACGGAAAAGAAAGATAGAATTGCTTTCACACATTACTAACTTACTGATAAATGTCATTTATGGGAAAATAAGTCTAATGAGATGGCAATCGTTGATGACTTCGCAGAACTCACCGGCAAAGTACTGGGTCAGGGCAAAGATACAACCAGTAACTCCATCAAACACGCCCATTAATATAAGGCGGCGTCGATCGGTGTTTAACTCTGATCGAGTCTGCAGCGTCTCAACATACACCCTATCGCTCTCCGAATAACACACAGTTGAATTTTCTGAAGACACGGAGTCAGACTGAGACAAAACACGATCCACGGAGGCAGTGGATTTGCCCGCGCAGCCAACAGCCACATCGGAGATCATGGTAAAGGCCTGGATTCGAGCACACAAAAAGACTGACTTGAGTGAACAAATTATGGCACTATAATTAAATAATGAATTATACTATCACAGCTAACTTCCTTCAAATGGCTGACAAGTAGCGGGAAAGCACTGAAGATTTCTCGGCCAACCACATGGTATTCAAACGAGGGCTAATTCATTAAAAACGACAAATAACATCAATATCCGGCGATCTCAGTGATGGTTTTCGCCTAAATGTGATTGTGGTAAAGGAGGACCTTCGTGGTACACACTTCTTTCTGCCTTCCAACGCATGCTGTGTTTGAAGTAGTAAAGTAATGTCCAGACGACTAGAAATTGGCGTGAGAGCAGTGGCCGAGAAGAGCGGATCCAGGCTTACGCGTGTGACACACTTTTCGATCTCTAAATTCACTTGGACTAGAGTACAAACCAGGTCTCGAATCCCCAAAGGAAGAGAATTGTCGTGAATGCTATACGTTAAGGGGCCACTGAGCCCCGACCGGCAGACCGAGGAAAGTCCACTTACCCTGAAAGTTGGCTTATTGAACCTGACAACGCGTGCTGCGATGGCAGTCAGGTACAAGTTTCTAAACCATGTCCTTTATTCAGCCGCGGCAGTTTAAAATGCGTCAGTTTACCCATTATGAGGAAACGAAGAACTAGATTTGATCTGAACCTGCCTTACTTCCTCTTTCCACCTTCTAAACAGTAGTGCCAAAGCCCCAGTCCAGCCGACTGGTTTCGAAATCTGGAGCTAAGATAGAAAACGCAGATTTGACTGCTTCGCTTGCGATAGGAGGTAATAACTAAGTTCTTGAAACATAGCTGTAAGCAAAAGACCCCTCGAGTGACCTTGCGAAGTTGGCTAGCGGAAAGCGTATTTCCAGGTTACCTCAAACGCCATGGAATGTAGACTTTCAAGTGAAAATAGTCCAAACTATCTGTGTTAATTGGTCACGGATACCGGGAAAACAGGAAATATTAGGTCATAGCCCCCGCTCCATCTACTGCTTCCACCTGACATCTACATCACGCCACAGCATGACTCATGCAGTCAGCGATGCTAGAGATGCTGCGTTAGCAAGATTGGCCGAATACTGGTGTTAGTCTGTCTAGTCATTCGATTTTGCACTAGCGATAATGTCTCCCGCCATCACGACCTCGTCACTCGCGCCCTGTCCTGACTGGCAGTCGACGTGCATTGTTTACGGTGACTGCGCTCTAGCTGGTCTGCGCAGAAAAAGCCTCCAGTGGCGCCTCTTGTTTGCTTTTGCTGACTGGGGACGATGCGATCGTGATGGATCGGGGGTGCACCCATTATCCTGGCTGCCGGACACCCCCCAAAAAACAGGACCAGGGCGTTAACTGAGCTACGGGCTACCCCTGTGCATCCGCGATTGGCTGACAGTAGAAGTCTTCTCAACTGCCGGATAGGCAGGCCGTTGGATTTAAAGCGGAGGCGGTCGCGGACCTTGTAGTGGTAATACCTTCAAATGTGGCGAAGCACCGTTCTGACAGAGCGATCGCCTGTATGCCAAGGTCACAATCATAGCGATACTGTGTCACGTCAAATGTTGTTCATCGCCCAACAAGACATCAGCCACCGCCGTTCGATACAATTTAGGCAACTTAAACTACTGGTTCGGCGGAGACGATAGTGATTCGCTTTCGAGTCCACGGAATGGTGGAACGAACTGCACATCGCAACCACTCTCCGGCACGTCGTTGTATGACCGGACGTTTGAACAAGGACGCATGCTCCGAACGCTCTGGGTGGATTTGGCTAGGGTAGCCTCCAGTAAGGTCAATGATCTCTGGCCTATAAAGAGCAGCACTGGCGGAAGAGTGTCTTTTTATACTGTGTATCCTTTTCAGTATTTATGTTTGGATATTTGTACACATTCAATTACACCGTATGGGAAAATGCACAAATACATTTTCCCGTTACTCATTTTATGGGATATCGTCATTTAGAATTCGGAAATTTTTTACTCTAAAATGTTCACCTTTTTAAGGAATTTCTAAACGTTTGTTAGAGTATTCGCCTCGTCTAGTATCCAGTGCGTTATTAACGGTGCCTCGGGAGCGTTCAGCGAATTTCCAGTAAGTTTAATCATTTTAGGGTCTTGAGAGTGTGTCTTCGCAATGACTTGAAGAGATACGTGCATTTACTTTATGAAAATGCATATGTAAGCTGGAAACCCCGAAGATAGCATGATCTTTCACAAACCTAACCACAGACTCTGAAAATGGCACAACATACAAAGAGCAGATTTTACAGTTGGTGTGTTATTGCGAGGAAAAGTATCGAATTTATATACTGCAGATGCGCAATCTCATAAAACGTTATTCAAAATTCTAAAATGTGCTTCCGATTCGAAGATATTACTTGAGTAGTGTTGTATTATTAACTGTCGCACAGCATAACTCCATGACACTTCAGTCACGTCAGGATGTCGGATTTTGGGGGCATTTGGTTTGGTCTGCCTGCAAAAATGCACTTTTAGATAACTGCTTGAGTACATAGTATGGCTTTCTCGTTGATTTTTGGTACTCTTATAAATTTAAACACACTTTCCAGAAAACATTCGTTCTTGTGCTCATTTGGCAGAAAAGTAAGTCTCCTTTAAATTTTATACCTGAAGAAAATGGTAGTTGTCGATTCTAGAAAACATTTTAATCCCAAAATAACGATAAAAACTCCCTGCCGTTAAACTTACCGTCAGGTTTTTTAAACTACAAGCTGTATAAGCTCCGTGTAAAGAAAATCATACGTTTCTATATGCTCCTAAGACGACAATGTTTTATGAATGGACATTTCATGGCCTTAAAATTCTCATAGCTATAAACTTCTTTAAAACAAGACGTATTTTTTCCTCAGGTATAAAACTTTAAGGAAGCGTAATTTGCTACTAAAAAAGTACTAGAAAAGTGTTTTTGTGAATATTTTCGACTAAATACATTTGAATTTATCTGGACATGGACAAGCTGTTATATCTACCATCGTGTGGCAGAATACCAAGATATTTCGGTCACGTCAAGGTGCCGGCTTTTGGATGCACTTCTTCCCGTCGGTTTTCAAATGCCTAACTTTTTGAAAAACGATAGCTAAAGTAGCATGATTTTCCTATTAATTCTCGTTACCTTCATACACTTAAACATGTTTTACAGGGAACATACACAAAACTATTCTTTCCTGCATCAAGTTGGTAGGGAGTTATTTCTTTGAATTTTATACTTGAGGAAGTGGTGTTTTTCGGATTCAGAAAACTTCTCGATTCCCGATCGATTTTGAACCCTACCTGCCGTCAAACCTGCATTCAGGGTTTCAAAACTACATGCCTCATATATTTCCCATGTGAGGGAAATCATACATTTCTAAAGGCTATTAAGAGGGCAATGATTTATAAGTGGACATTCCACGGTCTTAGAAAATCTCATAATTTGAAACTTCTTAAAAGCTAAATACATCGTTTTCTCAAGTATAAACCGTGAAGAAGACATAATTTGCTATAAAATGAGTACAATAAAGAATATTTTCGTGCATGTTTTTTATTTAATATATCTGAAGTTATATGGGCATCGAAAATCAAGGGGGAAAATCACACTGCTAAAGAAGTCGTTTTTACGGAGTGTAGTTTCGCAGACGACCGGAAAGAAGTGCCTTCAAGAGCCGGAACCCTGACGTGACCGAAATATCTTGGTATTATATCGCAAGGGGATTAATATTACAATCCTACTTAAATAACGTTTTCGTGTAGGAAGCACATTTCAGAACCTTGACGCAGCAATTTTTCATGAGTATTATTTAGCGGAAATGTTGTTGACTGATGACCAAAATGCTGCCATGTGCGAGGTAACCCTTAGGTAATCAGCGTGATAACCGGAATTAAGCAGCCTTTCTGGACTGATAGAGCACTTAGAAGTCCGTTCAGTATCGTGAACATCGGTTCCTATTACAAACTGAAATATACAATAAAGACGCCCAGAACATGAAGTTTCAATATGTAAAGTGGGAGGAGGGTGTCGAGTCCAAACTGCTCGTGTGTAGCCTTGTGTTCGAAGTGATGTAAGACACTTAAAAGATGGGTTAAAAGAGGTTAAAGAATAAACAGGTGAAAAATTCAGAGCCGACTGCTTCCAACAAACCACATCACCAAGTTCGGCAGGCCTCGAGGGTGCACAAAGACGCATCACAAGGGACAGTTCTAAAAGTTTGGACTGACTTTTTGCATTGGCGACTGCATGGCTTTAATAAGAATTGCGTAGGTGAGAATGTAAACTGTAGATGCTGATGTCAAAGTTCTCTACGTGATTTTGATGGCACATATGAGGTCCCACGGTGGTTAATGTCACCGGACAGAATTAAACAGACTGTAAATTGAAACAAGCTCATCGTGTTTAGAAAGTTGGGGACTATGTGGGGCCTCGAGAAGACCAAACGGAAGGCGTTAGCTGAAGGGCATACCCCGATAGAAGCAAAGCTTAAATATTAAAGAGAGACAGGTAATTGAAACAACTTGGATTTGGAATGATCACTGGTAGCAGGCAAGAACAAAAAGCTTGAGCAGGGCTGAATAAACTTCCCTATGGATACTAGCAGGGTAACAAGGCGCTCTAAATCTTACAGTTAAACCACCAAGTGTTGACGTCTGTTAACCGCTCCTCGTCAGGAAAGGAAGATAGCACGGCTGATTTTGTGCAGTCGTTCGGCACAGAACTAAATACTATCGGGAATATGAAACTGATAAGGAGCATCAACAAAAACAAGGGGGAATAAAATGGGAATTCCGGTTTTAGGTGCTGTTGTTAGCCATCTACCCCCAACCCCAGGACGGCAAGATTTTTCATTTGGGTTCGAGTCTAGTTCGCGCCTTATGATGGAATACCCACAAAGACGAGGAAGACCGAAATGGTCATTTCTGGCTTATTAGCCGTCGTCCGCCAGTCATACCTAATCCCAGGTGTGAACCACCTGGGAATCGAACCCGGGGTTTTTGGTCATTGAGTCGAGCGCTCTACCAATGAGCCACGGGCTCTTGGTCCTGTCGCTATGCGACTGTCTGAGAGGGTTTGAGATTGAGCCCCAAGGCATAACGGGACGAGCATGTCCCGTAACTTGATCAGTGAGCGCCACTTCATCTTACTTAGATGTGTTGCCGGTTGGATGGGCCATGGGCTAATGCCCCGACAGCTGCTGCAAATGATACTAACAGACGAGTACTGATGATGCGCACAATGCTGTCCTACTTTAGGATGAAACATTCGTTTCAGGGACTAGATCCTTCCCAGTTCTCCTTACCCTTCTTGTTAATACTCCTCGGATATCGTTCGTGGTTGCTACGCCACCACCAAAGAGGACTCTAGGGCGGGTGTGCAGGAAGAAGGACAGCATTTGCAGTCTGTCCTACAGTCGGGCCAGATTGGTAAACGTCATTCATACGTACCTCTGAGTGTCAGCTAATTTTGTTTTGGAGATGAGGTGAAGTAAATTACTCAAACAGTTCTGCAGGGCAAAGCGTTAGCTTCAGTTGCTAGAACAACAACGTCCACTGGTGCGTTAGTGTCACAATGTGCTGCGCATACTTCAACGTTTCATGCCGGGCATAAAGGCCAATGGATTTCCTATTGTTATAAGTCAACTTTACCCGAATTACCAAAGTAATTATTATGTTTGACGGCCAGCAAACCAATGGTGTGACGAAATGTCATCAAGGTGATCCATTTGCGAAGCAATTGCCAAAAAGATCCGAAAAAAGCATTCTCACAACCATACAATCACGTCTTCTGTTAACTTGTACAATCAAACGGGGACGTTAAGCAGGCGACTCCGAAAGTATTTGAGGATAATATCTGAGGCATATGCCCATGTTAATGTGAGGTCCTCTGGATGTAAATAAAAATACTTAGGAAGAATAGACAAGATTTTCAAAAGGGTCCCAAGACGGCAAAATCCCGAGTTGGGAACGGTTTTGCACAGAGGCGCAAAAGGGTCTGAGAAAAAAGGGCAGGGGTATGATTTATGGCCGGGGTTACTTACTCTTGGTAGCATTTGTGTCAATCAACAGAGCTGAACATCTAAGAACTTTGTGGCATCATATATTTTGATTCTGAATACTGTCCCCAATTAAAAGGTGACACTATTTTTGCCATTTAATGATAATAGCAAATTTAATGTCCCTTTGAAAACATTCTTAAAGAAGTATTGAATTGTCATATTGTACTCCGATGACTACCTTAAAGCATCTTGATCACTCTCACGCGGCAGCCATCACGATGTCTTTTTATTTCTTCCTCTGGCAAGTACAAATAAATATCGCCAATTATTTTCTTTTAGCACAATTGCTCCTCGGAGTAAGTAACCCCGGCCATAAACCATACCCTTGCAGAAAAAAAGTATTAAATGCCATTTAACTACCTGCAGGGCGTTTTCAGGAAACCTGGAATTGACTTGTCAATCACTTGTGGAGTCGAGGCAGTTTAACAGAAGAGCACACAGACAGCCGTCGAGAATGAAAAACACGGAGGTCAGTAGGGCAGCATGAACCCGTGCCTGTATATTTATCTCAAAAGTGTTAAAGTGAGGAATTTTAAGCCACCTATGCACTTTTAGCGAAAGGCAGCGAATGCTGACTGATTCAGACAACTTACAGTTGTAACTAGCCTATACGCATTTGAGCATAGTGGTCTGTACATCAAAATGCCCTTACTACACTGAAATATAATTAACGAGGACAATTTATAGAATATGAAAGATGCTTATGTAGAATGACAGCTGGAACAGAGCTCACCACTAGAAAGAGTCCAGTAAGTCCGTTACCCGTGAGACCGGGCGGTAATGAGGCAAGGTACAAAATCCACGGCGGTAACTTCAGAATTACCATTAGGCCTGGAAGCGCGGATATAAAAAAGTGCAGAAGGGAAGAGAAATTTTTTTTGGGCTATTGGTCTACTTTTTCTAAACTACGGTTTCCTCTTCGGATGTGGCCTATGTTCAAGTTAAATAGTTACTGCTGTGTACACCGCAATGTTACAGGGGGAGTAAAAAGAAGAAAACAGGGCTCGGAAGACTCGCTTAACCATGCCTGTTGACAGTTAATGAATGCTACGCGATTATCCCGCCAGATCTGATAGATTTAGGCTTAAATATTTATATCCCCTTTCGCACTCAGCCTACAAAGCTTCAATCCGAGGGATTTATTCTGACTTAGCACATTAGTTTCTGAGGAGAACAAAATGGCAGAAATTTTAACAACTGGAGTGCCTACTAGAAAGGACACAAAGAATGCTGGGAGACTCACTGCTGAGTCAAACCCCTCGCAGATGTGTCATGTAGTGACAGGATATCGGCAAAACATGTTCTGAGTTTAGTACCAGTCTCGCTTTGTATAAAAACGTGCTGTGCGGAGGAGCAGGTCATGTGTGACTGCCTAACTTTGTCCGTCCCTTGAGCCCAATTCCAGCGTGAGATAGGTGACCGGCTCGGACAGTGGACTGACGCCTATGAGAGGGAAGTGGGGGGGAGAGAGAGGTCGAGTCTGGGGATTTTGCCCCACAACAATCAGCGCATATTTCCCGCTGTAGAAAATATGACGTGCGTTAAAAGCCGTGGCTTGGAGGGCGGTCAACTGGCAGGAGGTAATCAAGATTTGTCTAGCAGAGTATGAACGACTGAGACCGGTGGGCTCGACAATACCAAAAATGAACGGCCCTCCTAAAATTCACAAACAAGGGCTGCCTCTACGTCCAATCTTGGATATGAGGAATTTGCATTATCATACCGTTGCAAAATGGCTAGTGGAAAGACTAAAACCATTGCAAAGTTATCTGTACCCTCGAAGTTTAAAAGACTCCTTTAAGTTCGTCGAAGCTATTAAAAATATTGACGTTGGCGGACGGAGGATGTTACCACTGGATGTATCATCGCTGTTTGCCAACGTACTCGTGTCAGAAACAATCAACGATCTTTGTGATGTTATTCGTGATACGAACTACCCCTTAGACATGCCTGTGAAAACGCTAAAAGAACTACTGACGCTTTGCACACAAAAGGTCCAGTTTCTGTGCAATGGTCAACTATACAGGCAGGTAGATGGTGTGGCAATGGGATCACCGCTTGGACCGTTACTTGAAAATGTTTTTATGGGCAAAGTCGAGAAAATAAGATTGCAAGACACCACTAATCGTCTCATCTTCTACGGTCGGTACGTGGACGATATCTTCTGTCTGGCGGATGGTACCACCGATACCGAGAACCTTGTCCCAAAGTTCAAAAGTGCGCACCCCTGCTTAAAGTTAACTGCAGAGGCCAAGGCAGATAACGAAATTGCCTTTTTCGATGTCCTTCTGCACAGGCAAGAGGATGGGTCTATCCAGCGCACGGTTTTCCGAAAGAAAACCTGGACGGGACAATACGTTAATTTCCACAGTTTTGTTCCCCTAGACATCAAACGGAATTTAGTTCAGGGATTGGTGGCTAGAGTGAGACGCATCTGTTCACCTGAAGCTATTGAAGAAGAACTCCAACAGCTGCGGAACACACTTCGGGAGAACGCGCTGCAAAGATCACTGTTGCGACTGCGGAAAAGAAAGAGGTATTCATAAGATTGCCTTTTGCAGGAGACGCAGAGAGCGAACTAGTCAGACGGCGCTTAGCTACAGCTATCACGAGGGCATTCCAGCGGTGAATTTACGCGTATGCTTCACAGACTACCTTTGGAGGCCACATCAATTTGCATTTATTCATCCAATTGCTCCTGTGGAGCAGAATACATCGGTTTCACAACGAGACGCTTGGTAAAGAGGGTGCGTGAACATATGCTCGCCTGGCTAGGCAGAGGTGAGACCCGGCCGATTTCAAGTTCTATTCTCGCACATTTAATCGATACGAATCACCGAATCGATGCCAAGGAAGCGTTTCAGGTTGTCTACCGACATCAAAATGCTTCTGTAAAGGCCTACACCAACGGATACTAGCAACGGCCGAGGCAGTGGCTATACGGCTAGCGAATCCGGTATTATGCTGTCAGAAAACCCTGAGACAAGCGCCCTCCCTGCCGTGGCCAACGAGAACCCCAAGTGATGACGACATGCCGCCTAAATCCCTAATTACAGTGAGGGTTACTCCGTGTACTCAATCCAAGAGCATCACTCAAAGACTCTCTTACCCCCCTCCCCTAACTCTGAGGACCAACACCCGTCGATCTTGTCATGCGGACGGCGTGGGGATGATGAGTGTTAATGACTTAATAGCCCTTGAGACACCTATAAACACTGTTGATTTTGTACATTTTCATTCCTTCATGTAACTGTATTGGCCTGACGAAGAATTACCGAAAACACGTGTTTGCCAACTTGACTTTTCAAGTGTGACATGCGAATATTTGCGAAACTTAGATAATCAAGATATATCAGTAGAACTCAATACGTCACATTGATTCTGCCTGAGAATGCTGACTGCTGACCTCTCTTTGTGTTAGCGCTACCCTTGAGGGTTCTCATTATACCTATCCCTTGATTTCTGTTCTTCGCAATGGTACCTACGGTCAAACTCTCAAGTTGCCTTCCCCCGGGGTTGGTAGTGGCTGACTGGGGACGGCCGCTAAACTAAAAATGACAACTCCAATGATGGTAACTTTTATTAAAACCACATTTTCATGAATGTGAGCCCGTCACTACGTGACAGTCAGAACGGTCTCTACATGCGGAATCGCAAGGCGAAACAGAAGTTCCCACTTACGTCCAGCAGTCAGAATGATTCGACGAATGTCTTACTCCTATGTCTCTAGAGCATAAAGTAATTCAACAAACGGTCAGTAACGGTCTCGAAAACAGTACCACTAAATTTGGGAAAACGGACTGTGCGGTTTATTGCTGTTGCGTTTGCAACTTTCTCAGTTGTCGCCAATGGCCAACTTAGCACAAATAAAGGCCCAAATGATTTAACGACCCCTCTGATTTTGCGCCCATTATCGTCATTGACTCACATATTAATGGTGCCGTTACGGCTGACAGACAAGGGTCACGTGACCCCGACGTCACCAAGCCTCCCAGGGAGCGAGAAGAACTCACAGCGCAACGAGACGAATTTACATTTGCGAGGAGGACTGTGACAAAAGACCGCTAAGAGAAAACGTAAACTTAAGACACGTGATTTGCTACTAATGGCCACGGAGATGCACCCGCTCGTTGAAGAATTACCGTGCAAATGATGCATGCAATTGAATAAAAAATCAGGCAGTGCAGGTTCATCGACAAAAATAACTTGCAAAGACCTCACTGAAGATGATAATACTGAGGAAGCTGCCGAGAAAGTTGACCATGGCAGCTGGCTTTCGACCTTCCCGATCGGAGAGTTGGCCAAGGAGTACGGTGGTTAACAGGCCGAAGGAGCCTGTGATTAGGCTGCAAATTGTGGAAACTTGTGCGGACCGTTTTTGCACCCACTCCAGCTTTGCGACGTCGTCTGGTCGAGCAGAGCTAATGACAGGAAACAGTGAAAGTTAATACACCTATTAGGCAGGCCTTTGATTAAAGCGTCTTCGATGGAGAACGAGCTAGGAAGTATTGCCTCTGCGTAAACCGTGAAAGTGTACGAGGTGCATGGATTAAAATCGGACGGCGACTTTTACCCTCGTTCCTTGTTTCTTGGAACAAAAACAAGAGAAGGAGAACATTTGGCGCCAGTCCATGTACTCCGAATGCACTCCAGGACTTCAATAAGTTACTCATGTGCGGTAAGACCTGCTAAATTCACTAGAGTGGGGGCTACGTCAAAAAGTTTGGCAGTAACTGATCGCAAAACTCAGAACATGTTTGCTTAAAATAAGCAGATTGTCCATTTAGTGCAAAATGATGACAGTGAAGGAGTAAACAAGGCGCGCGCTATGCCCATGGGCAACCAAGCGACCAGTCACTCAATGGATCCAAAGGTCAATAAACTGGCAACGTGCAACGAAGGGACGAACCGACAGAAATACCAAGTCCAAAGATGGCAAAAGCAATTGTGAAACTGCAAATAGGATCTTAAACTGTTTCCAACGCGGTTCACGGAGAAGAAAAAGAGTGGCTACTAAAGGCTGAAAACTTTGCAAACAAGTCTACTAAATGAAAAAAGTCCTAGTGTACACAGGCTGCGACTGATATTCTTGAGAGAAGAACAAAAAAGGCACGCACTTTCAATGGCGAGTTAGCATTTGCAGTCTAGAAGAAATAAATGATGTAATTGCCAACACTTGGGGACTAGAATACCAGCACGAATGTGCTGAAGACAAACGTAAGTACCAAGACAAAGCTTTAACATGTACTTCCTTACACTGTTCTAATTGATCAATTCTATCATTTGACAGCGCTGTAGAGGTCACATACTGCCTTGGGGTTGGAACATCATTAAGAATGTATTGAACTCAAGGACGGTTAGTTCGAACTAAATGTTCGACTTCTTCCTCTTATAGTCATGTGACTGAATTATTTTCCTGTGCGGCAAAACGGTGAAGTCTACAGAAAGTCGACAAATGCCTGGAGAATATGGTTCAACTCGACTTTAAGGCATACAGCCTCATAAGTCCTCTCAATCATATGGGCGACGAGCCCCCTTGTTAATAAAATTGTTCATGTTCTTGGACACAACGCTGGTGGGATTGGGCAAGATGGCAGTATTCTACGAGCACCTTTAAGGCCAAACGTAAACTGAGGAGGCCTTAAATTGTCTCAGGTAAAAACATGCCACTGAGTTTGAGTCGAGGTCACTTATTGCCTTGATGCTCTACATGCCATTACTGCGACTCACTTCAGAGTGAAGAAAGTTCTGATCTACTTGAAACAAACATATCTTTGGTTGTGGTATCGATGGCCTTAAATCGTTGCACGAGTTCCTTGAATAAATATATGATTGGAACTTATGAGTGGTGAGCAAGCTGACGTATCAGTCGACGTGCCCCAGGTGTAAGTAAGCACTTCCTGGTAAAAAAAATTCAAAGCCTCATTTAGTCTACCAGACGGAAACAATGTCCGAGAAAATTTTTCGTTCTTTACCACTTCACGAAAATGTACCTTACATAAGGGCGACGAAAATTAGTTTTAAGGAAAGTAGAGTGATAGGGTAAATGTCAACACATGTTGAGCTCTTAAGAATTAAGAAAATACCAAGCAGCCTCATGTGTCTTTTAGTCAATTCATTCTGCCCTGTCTGACGAACCGTAGAGAGACCTTTTATCGAAATAACGGAATGCCCTAGTTGCGCGTATTCGAGATACAAATAGTTTGAAAGAGCATGCTCTGAGTCACTAGTAACTCCAGTCTGTACTTCGATAGAGGCAAAACGTAAGCAGGAGGAGAATCCATACGACGAGTTCAACAAGTTTCTGTTGTGAATCAGGTTGCAGGGTAGTTTAAGCTAAAATTCCAGAGGGAGGACTCGATGGACGTACCAACCTGCAAACAGGTAAACACTTAGTCATGCTTTAGACCGAGCGTACAGAGACCAGTCGAAGACTCAAAGAGAAAGGTGACCTGCTTTGACATGCCTAATTAAAAGCAAAGATGTGGTGGTAAAGTTAATTGGCGCATGTTTTATAAAGAACTGTACGAACTGACCATGGTGCGGACAAAAAGGTCGGGAAGCATTTTATAACATCGGTTACCTGTTATCGTATTCACATGGACTGGGTCCCGTTGCATTTGCTGGCAAGCCGGCTTCCGCACTAAACCTGCTCAACAAAGCAGCGTGAAAAAGATATATTTACAAGAGAGCAATGCCAGCAAAGAGCCTATTAGCAAACGGCGGAGCAAAAGGTGCATTTACACGTCTTCCTATCTATCAGGTACCACACATTTATCCAACGCACGCTTCAACGATCATGTCAAAGCAGCCTACTTCATTATTACCCATATTCTGACCCGAAGTTCCGGTTAACATCATCAAGAGGCCATTTACTTTGCATAAGAATGCCTTAACGAGCCTTAAAGTTGGTGTGCGTCAAGGGAGGTACTGCGGATCCGGCCAAACTCAAGAAATCGTTAGTCCCTGGAGCAAGAACCAGAACACCACTTCTAGTTACGGAAGGACTCAAGTCCGAATCCATCATATGGAATACTACACATTCTACAATCGTCTCAAAGTAACGCACGATTTAGTCGCTTTCAGCCATCATTGGGCGTTACCCCAAACAAGTGTCATTATCATGGTAGGAGGGTTTTGCACAGGCAGGTATGTTAGCAGTCTTGGTTCATTGAACTTCAAAAAGATGGCCACTTATTCGAGGTCCATTTAAAGTCGATTAACTGGAGTCTATCATGGGCCACCTCACACCTACCGACACCGGTGTAGTCGACTGAATTTCAACTGGATTTTCTCATACAGGTCCACGCCCATTGACGACCGAAACGCTCCCTTTCGTCAACGGGCTTTTAGTTACTGTTATACACTCGGACAACTTAATGGATACAAACGCACTGTCCGATGACATTTCTCGTCCGACTATGGGCGAAAGCACTTTTATAGCAAATTTTAGGATATAATCCTCGCCAGTGGAGTTGTATGCAGAAGCCATGCCAATCTTCCCTGTATCGTTCCAATTTTAGTATATGTACCGCCGAAGCAAGGACGCCTTCGGACTCAAGGCACCAACAACCCGGAAACGTCGACTTCTCTCACAAACACCTCTACTATCACCCCTGCTGTAAACCTCGCGACGAATACCACCCCCGTCAGTGATCAGAATGCCCATGCCCGCCGTCATCGATCTCCAGCAACATCCGCCCTTTCCCAACTCCTGTGTCGACCACGGCGTCCACAGCACAATCTCTCCCACTCCCCCTCGATGGGACGACGCCCGACGTCCCGTCATCTACTACCATCGCCAGCCATGTGGACTCGGTCCCAAACTGTCCTTATTGCGATCGCATATTCACCCACACATTGGCCTAGTCGGTCACCTGCGAATCTATTGCACGGAGACCAGCGAAACAGCGCCTGGAGTACCAACATATGCCAAACGCACTCGCCTCAACTGCCCGTATTGCCATCGCACGTTCAGCCACCGCATGGACCTACTAGGCCACATGGGAATTCATGAAAACGAGCGATAGACCACCGCCGATTATACCATACCAGCACACCTCTCAACACCAACACCTGCAACACACATCCACACCACCCATCAACACACAACGTAGACACACTGACGTAAGTGGGAAGTGTGCTCTTGGACCCTCCTCCATGTGGGTCCTCTGTTACATGTGTGATCGAGCCTCAAACTATCACGGTGAGTCAAACGCCGTAGCTTGGAAGGCTGCCGACTGATGGGTTAACTCAGTCCACGCAGTCTTCCGAGTTGTGTGTGACTGTGTGGGGTGGCGGACTGGTGCATTGCTTCAACGGCTCCTTTCTAACGTGACCTCTGGTACTCTCACACATGTGAGATGTATGCCGCCCACCCTAGGCTATGTGACACCTTGGTGCTTGTGTTTTTGTGGGTCGTACATGTGGCGCGCGCGTAGACGATGTCCCTGCCATTGCCGTCATTCCCAACACCAAACAATTGATCGCCTGGACAGTGACTGGGGCCTAGGAATAGAGAGTGAGGTCGGCGACTCAATGCAATTTCATCACTATAAACAATCTGACGCGCTTGAAGCTACCACGGTGCGCTAAAAGCCGTGGCTTGAAGGGTTGCCAACTGACGGGAAACTTGGACCTCGCAGTCGACCCAGAGTGAGCGTTTGTGTGGAGTGGCCGACTGGAGGTCTGAGGGTCAGGCTGCAATGGCTCCCTTTTAATTTGTTTTTTTATGGCACTCTTACCTATTGGGGTCCGAGCCAGATGTAGCGGCACACCTAAGGGCGGCTTCGTCCGCACAAGCCACCTGCGTCTTCTCCCGCCTCCGGTCTTCTTGACTATGTCTTGACACCGGGCCAGGTAGGGGAGGAGGAGAGAGTGCGGTAGGTGCTGTGCCAGTCAAATATCATTACAAAGTAAGTCACGCACAAGTCACCGTGCCCGCCCACCCTGCTGTGGAGCACGCGGTGGACAACTTCGATCACGACGGTTGAACATTCATCAATGATGATGAGGACCGTGGTCAGCGCTGAGGACCAAAGAGCGCGGCGACAATTTACGTGTGATCTAGTTTATGGTGAGGGAGGTTTGCTTGCTGTTCAAGCCGCCTTCTCTTAAAACGCTCACCCTGTTCCATTCGCAAAGTTGAGTCAGTACAACTGGAGCTGAGTGTTAGCGCACTGACTGACGAAACTAACTCAACGTATGAGGACTCACATGCAGTGCTCTCTACATATACATAGAAAATGGGCGCTAAGCAGTGTCGCAGAATCCTTATTAAAGCGTAAGGCCGCATGAAGAAGACATTGCAGTCCACTCCTCTGTTCAGTGAAGGACCAAGTTGTCCCGACAGTCGGAGGCCGTACCGTGACAGCATGGAGATTAAGTTCTGACTCATGTGACGAAAGTTACCTTAGGTCCACTCTTATTCCCCCTTTTCTATCCCCTGAACTTGATGGTAACAGGAGTAAAATAAAAATAACGAGATTGGATACGGCTTGAAGCCTCCGCCCAACGCGTGCCACATATACCTTTGTCCCTGTCTATCTCAAATACAGCGGCAGAGTCCGCTCTAAGGACTCATGACAACCGAAACTGAAAGATCTACCCCAAAATTGTCCCAAACATTTTAGGGACGAAAAATCTCGCCCAATATAAGAACTACACCTTAGGAACGTCAGTAAGGGAGGTTTGTTGGATCGCTTTGGCGGGTAAATTACGTATTTGAGAATAGCGAAGATGATGCAAAACACATTCATTAATTCGACGGCAAATTTCGGACGTTATTATTATAGGCGGATGGGTAAGTTTTCTCCAGAAATCCAGCATAAAATAGTGAATGAGATAATTTGAGATCTCTAGATCAGCTAATCAATTTTTCCATGTTTGGGGCAAATTTTGTAGTATAGACGTGTTCTGAAATCGCACTTCGAAAACACAAGTATCCTGGAAAGTCCCTACTGCGCCACTTGATCTTTAAGAGGGTGAAACTATTAAAAGCCATCAGAAAACACCTAAGCGTTGATGAGGCCGCAACACATTTAACCACTCTACTTGAAGACAAAAAATCCACACTACCTACCTATCTGATCGTCAATCAGTTTTTCTATACACCAATGAGTCCTCACGGATATAGTGAATAAAAACGATGCGTCCGATTTGCCGGATCTCTTGTGGTGTTTAGTAGCTGATTTAAAGCCTGAGATGACTTACTATTAGTGTCTATATCGTTGATTTCCTTCTATAATTGACGCAAGTAATGAGACCCTACAGACCTCTTGGGTTTACAACCACGCTCATTCATTATGAGTAAAGCGTTTATTTAAAAGTTCAGCTACTTGAAATTACGTCTGATTAGTTAACAAACGTTTAAACCTGAGTCCATTCTTAAAGGAAGAAATTCGGACCCAAAACTAGCCTATTAAAAATTTGCACTATTTAATTTAGATGATATTTTCCCCAAGTCTTCAACTACGTGACGGATATCGGGAAGTATAAGACATTTTCTTAAGTTGAATTCCTTTACTGTGGATGAATTTTAAGTCAAAAATTACGTGATCACGAGCTTACCAGAAGAACGTGTATTGGAGGCTAACAAAACCATGTCCGATTGCAGCAACAATAGAGAAGCTGACCGCAACATGTAAAAGGATGATCGTTCTCATTGGATGAGGCATTTGGGGGTTGTGACGAATTTCATTACTAAAAGTCAGAAATAATTGTTTAGTAGACAAAGAAAAGAAGGTACATGGATCTTAAGGTATGAAGCGTCGTCCAATGCCTACAGACAACATATTGCAGCCAACATGATGTCTATCAGCTGGTTATCAGTAGAATTATGTGACGAACCTACCGGAAAGACGTTGCGGGGCAACAGGTTAGTCGTAAAAAAACCCGCAACCTAAATTCTGATGTGTCTGAAGAAGAAACGTTTTGCGATTTTAATAGAAGGTGTGCTCGAAATAGTCATTGCCATTATTTAAGTTGGTCACAGAGGAAAGAAGAAGGCCGTATGCAACTAAAAGATAGAAGGCCCATGCCTAAAAATGAACCGTCAGGTTCTCAGTCCCATGAGCTTAGTTACTGGCTATTCGGCACGTCCACAGTTAGCGAATATTTGAACGGACTTCAGCAAGGACCCGTCGATGATAACGAAATTTTAGAGTTTAAAAAATAAACATCATGGAGTAACAGCGGTCTTGGCAACAGGGCGCCTAGAGCTATGATATACAACACCGACTGTCTCCTAAAATACCGAAAATACCGGATGCCTCACCCTACGTTTTGATCACTAACCGCCAATAAACAAATTCATTTATCACTGCTGGCTGATAGTTACTCTCGTGAGACAAAACGCTCGGAGAGACAGCCACGTACAATCCTAACGACTGTTCGTTACGAATACATGCTCAAAATTTCAAAGAAACTTCATCACTATGTCAGATCCAAATGTTATGATCAATTTTGCTGCTTCCACTGAAACCGACGAGCTCCGAAACATTAGTCCGGGGAGCGACCGAATAGTATGTTAACCGACCTACATAACAAAAACGGACTCCCTGTACTAGATGCAAGCAGGTGCACATGCCCCTCGACATCGGGACATGCATGCAGTCTTCACTGGTATAACGTGGATGTCTTTTGCCTGTCCGAAAATAGAATTCCGAAATTGAGCTTCAGGTAAATTAAGATCCCGGTGCGTTTTGAACTTGCTTACCTAGTAGACAATGGTGAAAGAAGGCTGGGCTTTATTTAACAAAACTGGTGGTTGTCACCAAAATATTCCGAAATCGTCGTAGACATTTGCAGATCTGGTATTTAAACGGTAATCATGCAGAAGGACAAAATGAACATATCTGGATCATCCCGAAGATCCATAAATGGACTCATGAAAGCAAATCAATGCCTGGTTTCGAAAATGGAAACATCGGTGATTAAGACCGTTTTTTGTTTAAATTTGCCTCAAAGTTCATTTTTTCTCCTCGCCTAAAATGTCCTCTGCAAAAATGGTTGGTGTCCCAGAATACGGAAAATCCAGCGAGACCTTGCTATTAAGCTTGACTAGAATGAGATGGCAGTCCGCTAGGCAACTGAGAAAATTCTAGGGCTTACGCGGCGCGCCCTAATGGCTATCCCGATGCAAGAATCTCCCGGTTGTCTGTCTAGGCGGTTCGATCTAGGTTTTGTGACGAGGATTCCTTTTGTCAGCGCGTGTAGGCAAGGAACAAGTAGGCAGATATGGTCGCAAACACTAATAAGTGGAAGGAGCGACCTCTCTGAAGTACGTCTCAAAAATCTGCGACATAAAAAGTTTATTAAATTATTCATCAAATTAGTGGTAAGCACTTCGGCTCGACTGACTGATTTTCAACTTGAATCACCCGTGGACACCCCTTGGAATTAACTGATGTCCGCTTAAAGCTTTAGAGAATTTCAGGTGTTTCGGGACGAGTTGCTGTCAAGCATACCTTTAAGGCGGCATTGTGGCTCAAATTCAAATTGCTTGAAGGATCTCCTATGAGAAGGGAGGTCAAGACCTGGTTTAACCCAGTCAATAAAGACAAAAAGGCGGTTCCGCGATGTGCAGTCCCTGCCGCCGGCAACTGGGTGGAGTTCTCTAGACCAGCTACTACAGATTATCATGTGTGGAGAGGTACAGTCAGTAAAATAAGTGAACCCGTCTGGGTCGGGCACACTTGCATCTTTAAGAAATACAAGTGCACGAGCACCGACTGATGTTCATGCACATACACGTATGCATGCACACTCATCTATGCATGTTTTTTCTATATAAAGGTAACAAATGTGTACTTTGTATGTGGTTTTCTCGCAACTACCACTCACTTTTAACCTTTGCTAGCACCGGCCCAAACCATACCACTCAGGCCCAATTGGGTTGGGTTGGGTCACAAGGTTGGGCTACGGTCTGGGCATCGGATCTAAATGAACCAATTCTTACGCCAAATTACAGTCATATTTTGAGTGCGTATGGGAGTAATTCCACTGAACGTGGGACGCTGATTGTGCACAATCTTAAGCATATACTAACGCATACTTTAGTATATGCTAAAGATTGTGCATCCGCAATTACGAATATGCTGATCAGCATATATATGCGAGCATCGATGCTTGCACCAGCCTATAATAATTACAACATAATAAACATAAGCTTATTTTTCCAAACAGAGAACTTGGAGAAAGAAACAAAACAGGAAAATGAATATTTCTTGAAATTTTTATTACTCTGATAAGACTTCTGGTGTGCTGTTGACTGTTACAAAAGTTATAGCCGCTATAGCAGCAGCGTCGGTACACTGACGCCAAATCGCTAACGTATTGCGTTTAAAAGTAAATGCTGGATGCTTTATTTAAATAGACCTCAAGTGTAATGTATAAACAGGGAAATAACCACATGCACAATTTCGCCCTTGATAATTCAACACAGTAAAGGCCTCCGCAGGCCGACCTAGACGCTAAGACGTTAGTGCATTCAAACATGTCAGCAGTTGAGGTCAAATATCATAATTTGGCCAGGCAACGAAAACACAGATACGTTGCCTCTGTCTACTTTAATCTGCATGCGCATAACTTCTAGCTTACAAACTGGGGTAACTGACAAAAATTCGAGAGATAGGTTTGGCCAGAACTGTTGAGAGTATACGAACGGCGGCGAGAGGAGCTGTGCTAGCGTTTAAAAGGGCAAAAGTGACGGCGAGGCGAGGTAAGGAATACGAAAATAATAAGGATAGCACAAAAGTGAGTGCACAGCCTTCTTTACTTCCCAAAATCTTTACGCTCATTTTCACTGCTTCGACTTCGATCAAAAGTCTGTTGTAGGATAATGTATCGAAGGCTTAGAGGAAGTCGGCGAAAGCTACGTGGAGAGCTCCAATCCAGATATTGAGTGAGTTCAGATGGATTTTCGGTTTAGATACACCTCCCCGAAACCTCTTGGAGCGCCTTAAAATATTAGCAATTTTATGTCTCACTATGGGTCAAATTTTTATGTCCTTGGTGTCCTTCTTGAAGAAAAATTTTTAACATATACTTCCCAGCAATGTGATGAGCCCGTGCCTCTCATCGACCTTGTTGCTAGCGAAACCGAAGACAGGCACAAACGAAGTTTTAGCTTTATTACGAAAAATCGAAGTTGCCTTCCATTTCTTTTACTCTTGTGGCTCCAACTTTAAGGTTGCTGAAACTAAAAAAACTTCCATTAAGGAGCAAAAATCCACCCGTTTTTTGTTAAATTACGCTTGTCAATAAAAGTAGACTTTATTACCTCCCATTTGGGACGCTCACCTTAATATTTAAGAGGAATAAAGTTTTTTATTAGTCGGGATAAATCTCCAATGCAATGCAGATTTTCCCCCAAGGGGCGCTATAATAAACCTATTCTATTAGCAAACGCAAAGCCACCTCAGAATTCCACTCATCTGCAAACTGTCTCTAAAGCAGGTCCTTCCCGTATTTCTCCCGCATCTCCAGTTTCATCTCGATCTTAACCTTAGTGTATTATCAGTGATTAAGTGGGGACCTGCCACTTTGAATTTTTTTTTAGAGAGAGGAATGCTTTATTTTGAAAATAACTTTCAAAACTTTCAGCAAAAACGGTTCTCCAGTACACAGTGATTACCATAGAGATTACCAGGTATTGGACAGGTGGACATAATTATATATGAAGAAAAAGTACTTTAAGGTGCAAGATCGAGTTTTAGTTTTTGTTTTTCAACATCTTTGCAGGTGAGATACCGGGCTAGAAATGGCAGTATGGAATTCCGATAGGCCGAAGTGCGGCAAGGGATGTGGCGGAAGCATCGACGCATGGGGCGTAAGGATTTCGCAGCCATTAACTCATTATGAAGGGGATGGACGGTGTCATTCAGAATTCGGTCAGCGAATTGCTCCACCGAGTTGAAGTGTCGCTGCACGATGATATCAACTAAAATATGATAGGAAACACCAGCAGCAGCAGCAGCAGCAGCAGCAGCAGCAGCAGCAGCAGCAGCAGCAGCAGCAGCAGCAGCAGCAGCAGCAGCAGCAGCAGCAGCAGCAGCAGCAGCAGCAGCAGCAGCAGCAGCAGCAGCAGAGGCGAGCATTCGAATGACACGTTTAAAAATAATTAGATCTTTCTCAAGTAAAGCTGGAAAAATAACTGGAGAACAATAAATAATGAGTGGAAGAATACAGCCATCTATGAATCGCCAGATTAAGGACTGGGGTGTGTGATATGAACGTAGACGACGAATGTAATAAACAAGTTTTTGAATTTTTGTTAAAAGGGTTTCTATATGAAGAGAGAAAGAGAGATTTGAGGATAAAGTAACACCTAGGTACCGGAAAGAAGATACCTCATTGGGAAGAATATCCAAAGGTTCAGGAATGGGAGAGGGTCGCAATCGAAGCACACACTGTACTGATTTCTGATTGTTGAGTAGGAGTCCATTATTCGAAGACCATGCGGAGACGTGATCTAAGCCATCCTTTAAAGACTGTAGGTGAGTCAGGTTTTTGAGTGGGTGGCCTACGACCATGTCATCGGCATACTTATCATACAGGCAATCGTTTGGCGATCTCAAATCATCAGTATGTGGGGAGAAAAGATGAGGGGATAAGATGGAACCTTGTAGAACTCCACAATTATTTGGAAGAATAGAAGATTTTCTCTTTCCCGACTGGACAAACTGAGTGCGGGAGGAAAAATATTCTCTAAGCCAAGAGACAACCCAGCTCGGAGTGTCGCACGCAGCTGCTTTGGTCAGGAGGAGTTGGCGCGGAATAGTGTTGAAGGCGGATGAGTAGTCGAGAAAAGCACATGCATATGCACGGCATCCCTTGTCTAAGTCTCTCAAAGCTGAATGAACAACTAAAGCAACAGCATCCAAGGTGCTACGCTTTGCCTTGTATGCAAATTGTAGAGGATCAGAAAAATTGACGGAGGAGTACTTAAGGGAATCTAATGCAACTCGTTCAGTAAGTTTCAGGAGTGCAGAAGAGCAGGCAATAGGACGGAAAGATTTAGGAGCAAAAGTTAAAGATTTTTTAGGGATTGGAGTAATTCTTACTGTACGCCAGGCGTCAGGAATCTTGGACTCTATTAAGGATAGATTAATAAGGTGGGTCAAGACGGGAGCTATCTGCGAACAGCAAGACTTAAGGAGAAAAGGAGAGACACCTTCCGGCCCAGCCGCCGTTGATCCGCGAATCTTTTTGAGATGTTGTTCCACTGTTGTCACAGTCACAGGAGTAAAGTCACATGGTGGTAGGTAAATTTCGTTTGGGCGAGAAGGGGAGTCGTTAGAAGTACAGATAAAATTCCGATTTAAAGAGTTTAAATCTACGTCAATGGGTTCAAGTATATTACGTTGACCAGCGAGACGCTTGAGATTCCTCCACAGTTCAACAGAAGGAAAAGGAGAGGAGGGGGTGGATGAAGTAGAAAAAAGTTGACTAACGAATAAACCATTAAGTCTGGCAATTTCGTTCTTTATTAAAACATTGATATCCTTCACCTTGTCACGCTGACCTACTTTGTAGAAAGCTTCTTTGCGACGTCTCAAGTGTTTGAGGTATGGTGAGAAGATTCTGTCAGGCCTGACCATAACAGTTTCACGGGGACAACAAATATCTCCAGGCAGCTATAATTGCTTCAGTGACGCTCTCAGTTATATCAGGTCGCTTTAACTTAGAAGTAAAGAAGGGCTAACCCTAGAGACGCAGTCGAGCTCCATGGTTCGGAATAATGACTTAGGTAATAAAACTGGGTCAAATCCAACCCGTTCCCATGCAAGGCCACTCAAGTCTGGCAAACGGGCAAAATCAAATAAACCAAAAAATAGTCCAGGGAGATTTTACCTGTTCCTATTCAGAATTCTCAATTTCGTTAGCCTCCGTTTCGTTACCCTCATAGCCCAGGACCCGATAGTGTCCCAGTTAGCATTCTAAAAGTGGATGTAAATGTAATTTTTCCATCCATCTTATGAAGGATATTTGAGCTCGCTCTTGAAAGTGAAGCCTATCCTCCTTTGTGGAAGGAATCACACATTTTGCCTATCCCAAGCACGGTCATTTTACGTCATCTGATGACATCCGGCCAATAAACACGCTCCGCACAGTTTCGAAAATCTTAGAAACATTGATCAAAGACAAGATGGTGTGTTGTTTAACTGAGAATAACCTACTGAACGCTGTAGAGCATGGATACGTCAAAGCTCGGTCTTGTGAAAGCTGTCAGCTCTCTTCCTTTGATCATCTTCCCCAATCTAGGGACAATGGTTTTGCAGTTTACACAGTCTATTTCGATTTGACTAAGGCTCTTGATCGTGCTGACCATGCTCCTCTTCTCTTGAAACTCTCCTTTTTCGCAATAGGTGGCAAATTTTTGAACTTTATATCCTCTTACCTGGGTGGTCGCTCACGAGTTGAGATTTCCAATGCTACCTCCAATCCCGCGTAAAGAATATAATAAATGTATTGTAGCAGCCTTGGGCACTGTCAGTCCCCTTTGTACTCAGGAAAAAACCCAAAACAAACTCATTAATTTAAACTGCACTTTGACTTCATTTGTTTCGGGTGTATGTTTAGCCAAAAGAGCGCGAAAGGAGAGTTTGTTTTATGTTATAAAAAAACCTGAGTTCCAACCGAATATAATAACAAAAGTTTTGAAAAATAACGATATGTACAATATAAAAATTGAAGTTTTCAGTTTGGTAGTTTTTGAGGGCATGAATAATAGTCATGGAAATTGAAGACCTTTGATATATTGGGTTTATTGTAGCGCCCCTTGGGCACTGTCAGTCCCCCTTGAAATTATTTTCCTGTTGGGTAAATTTCGGTGTGCTCTAGTTGCTGGTTATCATGTAACGTCTCCGATCCGATCGAGGGCGAACCCCAAGGAGAATTAAGGCGATTTATAAAGAAATAATGAGAAGTGTATTAAACTGAACCTACTACAGTCCTCGTTACTGGCCTAATGCACACAGATAGGGCCGCAGGAGTCCTTGCTTAACAGCAAAGTTGACAGATAACAGAAAGCCGGGACTCGAGCGTCATACTTCCGTCCTTGGTTAGCCTTCTGGAGTATTTATAGGGCCTCAGGCGTTGCAGTAGTCCAAAGATTCGAGTGGCATTGTGAAAAGAAAACAGAGCAAACTTTAGTCATCATCATTCCACCTAATTTGTATTTATTGCCTATTTCTTATGTTAAGTAATTTTATAAGAAACCCAAATTATAACAAACAAGACACTACGCTTTAACTCACCACTATGCATAGTCAAAGTTGGTCCAGCAACACCAATCACATAGGTAGTAGTAGCGCTCGCGTGAGGTTTCGGTTCATTCCATTGCCCCCTCCTACGAAGAAGACCTGCTGTCCTCAGCAGCATCTGGTATCGTAATGGCCTTGCCCCCTTCACGGGGTACTTCCACGATCCTTTCGACTTGCTGTTCATTGTTGAGTTCTTCATGCCTCGCGTAGCCCCCTTCAGGAATAACCTCCAAATATTGTCCGACAAACTGGTTATCGTCCTAGTGAGATGTGCCGGCTTGCAGTCCGGAGCGGTTGACACTCCCATCCGTAATTGGTGCGGGCTTTAGGCGATTGGAATGTACCGTGAACTCGCTCGAATATGGCCTATCTTGATTACGAATGAGACAAGTCGTATCCGACAGAACTTTAATAACGACGAACGGACCAGACCAATAAGGGTAGAATATTGGGGGTACCCCCGCAGGTAATGTAAAATTGCGCATCCATACAACGTTCCCACACTATACGGGGTGCCGTGCGCCAACTTGTCGTAAAATGCCTTTTGGTGACGCTGCCCTTATTGCAAATGCAAACGGGCCTCTTCTGATGCTACACGCAAAGCTTTTCGCAATCTTGATACATACGTGTCGACATTTTCAACCTGATGCATGAGCGGATGTTGGAGGTCCTCGGGGAGTTGCATCTCCCTCCCACACATAAGGAAGAACGGCGTTTGTTGCGTAGTGACATTTACCGTGGATTGGTAAGCCAACATGCCCGCTGGCAAGGCTTCGTCCCATGTGGGTGGTGAGTTCGCCGCTCTCGAACGACGAGCCTCAGTCTGAGTGGATTTGGTCCGGGGCTCCCCAGCGGCAGATCCACCCGTTGAAAATGGCTCGGGCTACTGTGGGGGCAGACGCATCTGGCAGGGGTACTGCCTCAGCCATCTTGGGGAAACAGTCCACCATGACGAGAATGAACCGATTTCCCCTCGCGGATGGCGCGATTGTGCCAACGAGGTCTACCGCTACCCTCTCGTGGGGTAGCCCGTCTTGATTGGTTGTAGAGGGGCTCTGTAGGACTGCCCGGGGGACTTGAAGCCTAAGCAGTGTTCACAAGACCGGACAACGTTCTGTATTTCGGTCTTCTGATTCGGCCAGTAGTACCGTCGGCGAAGGGCCCTCTCGGTCTTATGGATGCCGGAATGCCCTAGTTCCGCATGTATCCTTTCGACCACGTCATCCACCATCGAAAGCGGCAGGACGACTCGCTTTGGGTATTGTTCATTGTCACGGTAGAAGAGAACGCCATTCTCAATGGAAAATTTGTCCCAGAGGCTATGCAGACATCGCGTCTTATAACTGTGACCCGCTAGTTCAGCCTTACTGAGAGGCCTGGCGTTACTAACTTTCCTATCATATATGGGGCAGATATGCGGGTCATCTCGTTGGGCTGCGGCCCAGAGTAGGCATAGATCGCTTTGCAAAGCGATAGCGGAGATGGCGATGTCCGTGCATGACGGGCATTCCCCGTGTGGCCGATAAGGTTTCCTTGAAAGGGCATCTGCATTTACATGCTGACGACCCGGTCGAAAGGTGCATTCGAAATCGAACTCCGCCAACTTCTCTTGCCAGCGAGCTACTTGCCCTTCAGAATTCTGAAAGTTTCTTAGCCAAGTCAAAGAGCTGTGGTCTGTACGTACTATGAGTGGTCGGTACTGGAGATAGGACCGACACTCCTCAACGAAATGCGTAAGTGCGAGCATCTCTGTGCGGGTGACACAATAGCGCCGCTCGGCTTTGGTAAGTGTGCGACTAAGGTACTGAATGACACGTTCGGTGCCGTCACGTTGTTGCTGAGACAGGACGGCGCCTATAGCCGTGTCGCTGGCGTCAGTATCTAAGATTAATTTGCCTGCATCTTCGCTGATGTCGGGAAAAATTAGGACAGGACTAGTGCGCAAACTATCCTTCAGCAACTGAAAGCTACCATCACATTCAGCGGTTCACTTGAACTTTTTCTCCTTCTGAGTCAGACGGTGAAGAGGGGCGGCAATGTTGGCATAATCTTTTATGAAACGTCGATAGTCACATCCGAAGGGGTCGGCCATTCACGGATCTGTCTGACTTTGTCGACATCGGTTTCTACTCCAGTGGCTGAAACTACATGTCCTAAGAATTTTACGCGCGGTCTAATGAAGACGCACTTTGAAGTTTTTAGAGTTAGACCGGCTTGCTTGAGACTGAGGAATACAGTTCGAAGGTTGGTCAGATGGTTCTCGAAATCCTTCCCAAGGACAATGATATCGTCCATGTAACCAGACACGAGTTCGGAATCAGCCGAGAGAGTTCCTGATTCATAAGCCTCTGAAAGGTACTAAGGGCATTGGCTAGTCCAAACGGCATTGTCTCAAACCCGTAGAGACCAGACGATACAGCAAACGCAGTCTTCTCTCTATCAGTGGGTCGCACCTCCACCTGCCAGTAGCCCGAGGCTAGGTCGAGGGTTTAAAAGACGGTATTACCCGCAAGTGTGTCCAAGGTAGCATCGATCCGGGGCAATGGAAACGAGTCCTTTTTCGTCACAGCATTCAGTTTTCTGTAAACAACACATAGGCGCATCGTGCCGTCCTTCCTCCGCACGAGTACTATTGGTGACGACCACGGCGAGTGAGACCGTCGAATAATTATTCGACTGACCATATCGCTAATGAGGGCATCCAATTCCTTCTGACATAAAATGGGGAGACGTCTAGGAGGGACCCTAATGGGTTTGGCGTCCCCAGTGTCAATGCAGTGTTGACTAAAATTGGTCCGGCCCGTTGACTTGCCGTCCCAATCAAAAAATGTCTTTAAATTGGGTAAGCAAATGTTTTAGTTGCGTAAGACTGTTAGCGTCTAAACTGGTAAGTAAAAGGTCCTTAATGTTGGCGACCACAACGGACGCAGAGCAAAGATCTGATGCCGGCGGCACGTGGGTGAGAAAGGGTACATTTACGAGAGTATTACTGAATAGTTGTTTGCCAAAATCAGGTGCGCACCGGAACTTATTCAGGAAATCGACACCCAAGATACAGTCCCAAGTGATGTCCGGAGACACCAGGAAAGAATGCGAAGACATGTGACCACTAAGTTGCAATGAATATTCAACCAACCCGTCGTGCTCAAGCCCGGTGCCAGTGGCCGTGCAGAGGCGCCATCCGGGTTTCCATCGATACTTACCTTTAGTCTGAGAAGCAGTAAAGAGCTGTTGCTTAACTAGTGAGCAGCCTGCGCCGGAATCAACCAGACAAGAAAAGGAAACATTCCCGACTGTCGCCTTAACCAAAGGACAAATTGAATGGCTAACACATGAGACAACTGCATCCGAAAAAATAAAGCACTTACTATTGTCTTCCTGATCAACATCAATCACTTGAATGGGCCGGCGTCCTTGGTGACCGGTAGAGCGGCGGATCGGAGGTCGGCGCCAATTAGTTTGCCGAGGGGAGCAAGACCCACAAGCGCACTGACGCCAGGGCGTCTGAGTGTTGACGTCCACACCCGATTGAGACCGCATAGACACTACTCCAACACAACCCCGCAGGGGGGTGGCACAGGCAGCCTGGAGTGCCTCTTCTTACTGGCAAGGCGAATTGCGTCGTCCAACTTGGACGGCTGCTGACGGAGGAGTGCTTTGCGAACCTCCGGGTTCGAAACACCATCTATGAACTGCTCGAGGAGTGTTTCCTCGAGATCGGCGGCTGCCAAAGTAGGGTAGGCCTGCCGTCCTAGAAGGCAAAGCGCCTGTTGAAATTCCACGACGCTCTCAAACGGCCGTTGAAACCGCCGTCGGAACTCGGACCGCACCAGCCAAGTGGGCCTTGAACCGCATAGAATCCGACGAAGGTCCCGAAAAATCTCAGCAACAGGCATCGTAGAATTGATGCCTGACGCCCGAGCCAAGTCATAGACATCGTCATCCGGTTGTGACAGGATTGCCACGCCCTTAGATTTGTCGTCCACGCCGCCTAGGTAGTCTGTCATCCGGGATTCCCAACGGTGAAAATCGCCTGAACGAGAAAGTTTGCCAGGGAGGGGGCAGAACGACGAAGGCAGTGCCTGTTTCTGCAGCTACTTAACAAGTTTGCTTACGAGATTGTCTGTCATTTTGCATGCGGCACCGTTGCCACAAAATTGTAACGTCTCCGATCCGATCGAGGGCGAACCCCAAGGAGAATTAAGGCGATTTATAAAGAAATAATGAGAAGTGTATTAAACTGAACCTACTACAGTCCTCGTAACTGGCCTAATGCACACAGATAGGGCCGCAGGAGTCCTTGCTTAACAGCAAAGTTGACAGATAACAGAAAGCCGGGACTCGAGCGTCATACTTCCGTCCTTGGTTAGCCTTCTGGAGTATTTATAGGGCCTCAGGCGTTGCAGTAGTCCAAAGATTCGAGTGGCATTGTGAAAAGAAAACAGAGCAAACTTTAGTCATCATCATTCCACCTAATTTGTATTTATTGCCTATTTCTTATGTTAAGTAATTTTATAAGAAACCCAAATTATAACAAACAAGACACTACGCTTTAACTCACCACTATGCATAGTCAAAGTTGGTCCAGCAACACCAATCCCATAGGTAGTAGTAGCGCTCGCGTGAGGTTAGGTTCGTTACAGCCAGTCTATCTGGCCAGCTGTAACTGGGCGGCTGCACAGTTCGTACGTGGTTTTCAGGAGGCTTACAATCGTTGTCTGGACTAAGAGCTGGAAAAGATGAATATATATCGGGAGTAAGAAGCATTCAATGGTAAGTCACAATCAAAGCTGTCAAAATAATATTGAATCATGTATCATATTTTTCTTGTGAATGTGAAATTATAGGAGTAGTGGTCGACTGTTTACTATGACCTAATATGGTTGTATATATGTTTAATATGGCCTCAATATAGACTTACGAACAACTAATATGCAGGTTCTTATCGAAGGGGATATTTTTCATTAGCGTCCTAATGGATATTAAGTGTCAGGTGACGTAGCTGATGGAAACGAGAAAGGGAGGAAAGAACTAATATCACTATCTGTTCTATGTTTACCAATGATGCTATCTTTTATAAATTGGATTATTTTTAGTGCTATGTTCCGGTATTATCCATGCTGCTGGCATCATCAGAGCCCTTTTGGACCAAATTTAATATCAAAGAATTGACTTGACAATGTTCTAACTTATTCAAAAATAAATGTGCATTGTTATTTGAGAGGAATTTCTTAGTTTTTATTTTAAACTCGATTAGGGTTTGACTTTTCCTGATAGAACTTGGAAGAGCATTCCAGATAGTCGCATGTTTAATTTAATTTATAAAATGCCAGTCTACAGGCGTTGTCAGGGGAAGTGATTAAACACAAATCCGACCAGCAGAGTAGAAATTTGACCATTGGGACTATGTGAATTTGGGGATTTTTATAATATCTTCGTTATTTCTGGTGTTTGTTTGGGCGTTTTGATTTGTTAGTAAATTCATTTTGAGAATATCTTGGTTATGGGTGACCTTGAATAGGATGTTTAGACCATTTTGGAGTCTTCTGATCCAGAGGAGTCGAAGACCGTATTTGTTGGGACTGCCTACACTCCCAAAAACAAGAGCCAGCCAATCACGGGAGGCCACGTGCGTTTTCTCTACTGCGCTGTCATCTTAATCGTGGCGCCTCTCCATTGGCTTTTCCCTCGCGGGCCTGATCGATCAGCATATTCGAATTATCGACCGGCTCGTCTCGAATATTGTTCCCGAAGGGCATTGGGCCGAACGCCGGCGAAGCACCGTAAGGCGTTATAAATACGCGTTACTTCCAGTTCATTTTGACTTGCATTTTCCTAATACACAGTTTCGTGGCCGGTCGCGTTCTCCTTCTCTGCCGCGTTGGTATTAGGGACAAGGGTCGAGTGCGCATACGCTCCACAGGATTTCACGTACCAGGCGAGTCATAACAGTATTTATGATTTAGTTCTAGGTATGAACCCTGGATTCCATCACTTCTAGAAAAAGATCTAGTAAAATGTCTCTGAATTCCTTCTAGTTTCTTTCGGCCGTCTGAGGGCATTATGCCGAAGGAAGTTGAACAATAATCTGGGAGAAGTAGAACATAAATTTCGAAAAGTTGTATTTTTAGTGCATTTAAGGTGAAATTCTTACATATGAATCCGCACAGGCGAGTGGCTTTCGGTGATATTTGTTGGAAGTGGGGAGATAAATCAAGGACATTTGTATAGCTGAGACCTAAATCTCTAACCGATTGGGCCTCCGTTATTTCATTATCCTCGAATATTATGGGGGGGAAGTTTTTGCGGGCCAAATATCAGGAGATGGAATTTTTCGGGTGAAATGGGCTTCTGCCATTGACTACTCCATTCGCTGAGTTTTCTGAGATCAGTTTCAGTTGTTCTAGGAATATTGGCTACTGTATTCCCGTTATATGCATATGCAAGTTTAAGGTCGTCCGCATATAAAAACGTCTTAGCTGAGACAGATATGGACAATAAGTCGTGAATATATATAAAAAATAGAAGGGGGCCTATGATAGTGCCTTGAAGTGCTCCACTGGTAATAGGGGATGGTTCTGAGACTATGTTCCGAATTTGCACCACCTGGTATCGGTTTTTAAGATCGGATTTAAGAAAATCGAGAAGGGGTGGCCTAATTCCATGACTTTTTAGATTTACCAGTAGTCTTTTATGGGAGACTCTGTCAAAGGCCTTTTTAAATCGAAGTATATTGAAGCTACTGTATTTCAATCATCTCTATTGCTGGAAACGAATTCAAAAAAAGTAACGTGGCAGGACTGACATGACTTTTTAGGTAAAAATGCATGTTGAGAGGGGGGAATGAGGTTGGCGTTCATGAGATGGTCTAGCAATTGGTTGTAGAAAATTTTCTCGAGGATTTTAGCTATAGCCGGTGTTAGGTGAACACCACGATAGTTTTGGGTATGAGATGAGTTGCCACTTTTAAATATAGGCGCAAGGGTCGAGTATATCCACATGTCCGGAAAAATTGCACGTGACTGGAGTAGGGTTAATAACTTAGATAGGAGTATAATTAACGACCATAATTCCTACGACTGGACTAATTTCTTCCTTAGTTCGGATGTAAATGTTTGCACTGCAAAACTGTACGTAATTTTGGATCCGCTTATTTCTCGTTTTGTCCCCCGTAAGAAAATTATTTATGTTGGGGATGAGGTTTTCCTACCCTTACCCTTTCGTCGCAGATTGCGCAGGCTTTATCGTAGACTCCATTTTCAGAACGATGTTTCTGTCCTGCCCTTGATTCGTGATATTTTTTAATCGAGCTAAGAGATTGTCTGAAGAAAAACAGCTAGCCGAAGAGGACCAGTTTAGCGAAAATCATTCGTTAAATGTCTCGAAACTTTTCTCTAGAAAAATACGAACTCGCCGAAAGACGCAGCATCCCATCCTCCGAGACGCTCTCTGAAATCCCATAGTTGATGCCCAGTTAACCGCTGATAGCTTCAATGATTTCCTGTCCAAAACGTCCATTGAAGACTCGACCACTCCGCTTCCGACAATCCAGCCATTGACCGGGGCGGTTCTAGAAACTATAATTTTCACTCTGTGGAATGTGACTGTTGCGATTCGGCTTTTTCGTCAATCTTATAGTCCAGGCCCTGATGTTGTCCCAGAAAGCATTTTAAAAGCCGATGCAAACACGATCTTCCCATCCCTCTTATGCAAGATATTTAATCTCGCTCTTGAAAGTGAAACCTATTCTACCTTGTGGAAGGAATCACACATTTTGCCCATTCCTAAGCACGGCAAATCATATCGGTTGGGACATCAATACCACTTTGCTCAATGCTAGTTTTAATGTAGATAAGACAACCTCCGCCTCGTTTATTAACACGGTGTTGTCGATAGAAATTATAAATTGGGACATATAGCGAAGCATTCGATATAAGCTCATTTGCCCATGTTTCTGTTATGCAAATTATATCGGAGTTATATATTTCCACAAAAGTTCCACGTAGGATATTTTGTTGACAATCGATCACCCGGAAACTGTTCTCTCAAGCTTCGTCCAGTATTTCTTATACTCAGAGATGTCACCTGGCGAACATGAAGTTTTTGTGGGTTAGAAGACTCGAAGCTGGCCTTTGCTTCCTTTTTCGCATCAACTCTAGCTCCAGTCTTCCGACCATTGACACTCTCACTTTGAGAGATCGGTCTTATGCCACGCGCAACTCCTGCATGGTGATTCCGCCGCCTCTTTGTACTACATCTAAGCGCTCCCTCTTCTTTGCTTCCAAATATGCCTTCCTTTGGAATAATCTTCCGCCTGAAATTAGATTATCGCCTAAGTTACTGGTATTCAAGTCGAAATTACGCAACCATCTTACACCGGAAAGCATAAAGGCACTGTTAGCGGTCTCATTCCCGAACACTCAGATTCTTGACTTCGAGAAGGGTCCTCCTGGGAATTAGTGGTAGATTAAGTGGTAACTCTTAATTATATCATTAGAAACCCCTGTTTTGAATTGGTTTCTAAATCTATCGTTATCCTTCACCCTATAGCGACAATTTTCGCGGTTTTTGATGTCATCTCCCGCATTCCGACCTCATGCGGTCTGTCGACACTCACGGCGGAACCCTCAGTCTTTCACTGTTTACTAGTAGTTCAGTCGTACCTCCCTTCCTCACTGCTCGGCTGAGCTCGAAGCGTGCTGTGGCCGATCGCATCTCGGTTCCTCTCGTCTGGCCTCTTTGACGCGGCGTACCAATCAGGCCCAGACGATCTCAATTGTGAATCCCGTATACAATGCCATTTGCAAGCCAGTCCTGTCTGACCCACATTCGTACCCATCAAGGCGGACATTTATTGATACTCTGACGATGACCGACAACTTTCCATTATATACCGCCACCCACAGGCCAGTCCAGCTCGCTTTTTTCTGTTATTATTTTCAAAGAGGGTTTTTTTTTCTCCTGTAAAATTAATCCAGTCATTTTTAACTTTTTCTTAGGAGTTTTT